TTAAAAAGATACTGGCTGGGCTGAGAAGCATGTTTTTCTGTGTTAATACACCAAGAGATAAGGAAGAAATGAAGTGCTAAGCAGCTGGGGAAAGAAGATCAAGTACTTGTGTTCTGTGAGCCAAGAGAGTTTCTGAGCACCCTGGGTTCTGCATTCCGATCCTCCCATTCCATGTGAGCCTCCATCAAAGATCATGGTCAGTGATGCCTGCTATGCAGATATCTCTGAGGCCCTTCATCTTTCTAGGGTTCATGGGGGTTGCTCTTGCTTGCTTGATCTCTGCCACTTGGTATGGAACTGCTTTAGGGGAGACCAGTGGATGTGGTGCAGTGCCCTACAGGGGAGGACCAGAAGGATTTAGCAGGGGAAGAAACTGCTATGGAAGCACAGTGGGGTGCGGCATGCATGGTGGTTGCTCATGGTGGCCTTGCATTGCTTCTTGGGACGTTGTTGTCTTGTCTTGAAGCACATCCATTTGCCTGTCAGTGGCCTTCTGCCCTCTTGTGGCTTGCTGCAAGATGAGGTCTGAGGCAGCTGTGCCTGCCCACACCAACTCACTCAGCTTGTGGATGCTGTAACTGGTGGTTTGAGTTGACCAGAGAGAAAGCAGGCGCACACTGGCCCTTCCTCTCTCTCCCTTTCATTCATTGCATTGAGCAGGTTACATGTGTGCTCCACTTTTGTTTCAGTGGCATTCACGAAGTCCTTTGCCAGTTGCCCAAATGGTTTACACTTGTTTTGGAAACACTGCCTATTGAGTGCTGGTTAGTGCGAGCTTCTCCTCTGCTGATTCTACCCCTGAACTTTTGGATACCAGCTGCAGGTGTAGTGGTAGCTGCTTCAGCTGTACTTCTCTAGATGCATCCATGGGTTCAGCCTCGCCTCCCCTGCCCCCCCCCCCCCACACACACCTTGCTCTCTTGGAGAGCCAGCAAAAAAGGGATTACTGAGCTCTGTGAAGAGAGGCACCGAGTTGATGGCAAGGAGTGGTGACTCTGCTTCTGCCCTCACCTGGGATGGTTCATGGAGGACCTCAAGCTCAGTTACTGGTGGTTCTATACTAGAAGGCCTCCTTTATTAACCAGGGGGTGCATCATAAGCATGTTTAGATCTACAACCCTGTGTGCTGTGCATTACTGTCCACCTCTGCAGGCAGGCGCTGAGGCACTACCAGTGTTAGACGTCTTGGAAGCAGACCTCCATTCCTTTCCTGGGGAAGTCCATCTCCAACTGTGTTTCCATTGAAAATATTCCAGACTGCTTCCTGAACAGCAGCGCTCAACTCCTCAGTGACAGTGGGAGCATTTCTTGGTTAATGTTGGATCAGTCATGGCTTTCTTTTCCTGTAGCAGAAAGATGCTTCTTTCTGGGATGCTTGTATTGCAGGACTATATCACTGACAAACTTATATCAGAAGGTGGGGAGCCTTGTTTCTGGGGTAGCCGAAATGGACTTGAGGGACCTGCTGTTGGCTCAAAACAGAGGAGGGTCTTGAAATAGTAGCTGGAAGGCCATGTCTTAGCATACTAGACATGATGGCTTGTGGTAGAGAGCTCAGCCCATTTTGATAGGCCTGGAGTTGGAGAGGGTGAATCACGGGTTGGAGAGTGGCAGGCCTTCATCAGCCCTAAAGTGAGTGATGTAAAGGAATCCCACTGGTAGTCGTATACAGAGGCATCGCACCCTTCCAGGGATACTCATAGCCTGGTGTGGCACTCGTGGGGAATCGTGATTTGCTTATGATTGTTCAGGCCGTGCAGCTGTGCAGGAGTGTGAGAGTCATCCCTTAGTAACCTCTGCATGGAAAATCTGGGGAACAGGTGATCCGTCATGCCTGTTGCTGCTCAGATTGTCCTGGGTTTCATGGCTTATCCAGAGATCTTTGAAGGTGCCTAGTTCAGCCTCACTCCAGAAATGTGCCAAATGCTCACATAGTGTTTCTCCCCTTCTGACTCAGCCAGAGCCCCAGATAAATCATGAGATGAAGGCTGCAAAAGTACCTGCAACAGCTCTTGGGGAACATTTTACCAAACAGGCTGGTTGATCTCCATCTGTTGCGCAGATGTGACTCCTTTTACATGCAACATCATGTTAAGGGAACTGCACTAAACAGTGTTAAATGACTGTACAAATTGCCTTTTTTCAATAAAATGGAAGATTTTGTATTGGGAAAACTCTTTGGGCAAACATTGTAGAAGGGGTTAGAGGAAGGACAACTTGAACACACAGCTGAAGCTGACACAATAACAAGCTCCTTCAGGGTTACTATGCAAATTGCACACTGCAGGCTCACATGAGCAAGAAAAAGTACTTTGCAAAGGTGTGAGAGGAAGTGCCAAGGAAGGAGGAAGGGCTCCCATACTACAAGCTGCTGCTAGGCAGCCTCCGGGAACCAAGTGTGCTTGCTGGGAGAGAAGCCGCTTGCCCAAAGGGTGACTTGTTGCTGAAAAATAAATCACCCCATGGGAAGCAGTCTGAATTTGGACAACATGGCATCTTGCTGTGGTTGGCAACTCACAGTGGGTTGTGTTATGTGACCTCATGGTATTTTAGGAGTACGGAAAACATTAAATGCTGCTCTTCTAGAATTTTCTTTATTTCTTAGCTTAGGTAATTTGTCAATGTTTAGAGAACTGTTTTAGTTTCAGTGCGTCTTCATTAAGCCTTAGTGGAAAGAAATAAAAGGAATATTTATAATGTGGCTATAAAATCAATTTATATCATGACATAATAATAGCACTTTATGCTTTCATAAACAGCTGCGAATCATTCATATAGGCTTGGTACATTATCACGTTTTAGTTTGCAAGGCAAGTCAATCGGTTGACAAACTTTTATACTAATTTGCTGATTACTGTAACATTTGAAACGGTATTCTTAAACATTTGTTTAATACATCTTTTTATTTGTACTCTGTTTCCTGTGGTCTCATTTTGAAAAATTCAAGAAACAAAAAAGCATAAGTAACTCATTATACCTCTTCCCCCAGTCCATTTGGCCTGCTGTTACCAACAGTTTTGTGGTGTTTAATAGTGTGCTCTCAATTTTGTTGTAGTAAGTTTGTGCCATTTCCTTTGTGTCGTGCACTGTTATCATAATGTGGTAAAAGCAATATTACATATTTTGTTGCCACACTATCTTCTGTTGTTTCCAGAACTATGTGAGATGGCTCCTAATGTACTATTTTCCCCCTGAACAGTTGATACCACATGTGTGCAACTGAATAGTGCTGCTTTCATATTTTGGGAGAAGGCTGCAGTCGTAGTAGTGTTGACTTTCATTGCTATAATGGACCTCTAGTCAGCCTTGTTAACCCCACGCTACCCCACTGTTAAGTTTTTTAATAGAACCCATTGGTGCTCGTGGCACATGATTAAAGCCTAATTGTAGTTTGGCAGAGCTGGGGAGCTTTTCAGAGAGGGAAGAGTTAACTCCTATAGGTATGCTGTGACCCCTAAAAATTACTCCATGCGCAGCAATTAAACTTTTAAGAAACCTGTTATTGGAGCCCATGGGGGCCATTTTTAAGTCTTTTTTCCTGTACGAAAGGAAATGCCATATGTGTATGAGTATGTATATGGAAGACAGAGGGTCAGTCGCTCCACCCCTTGCTGGCATGTAGCACCTGGCCTGTTACCCTTGAGAAAAGGTGGCATTCTGGCTAAAAAAGATTTGTAACCCATGTCCTAGATGTTGGGATTAAAATGTCTCGGGAATAGTGACAAACTATGGGATTACTGAAGAAGTAGTTGAGTGGGGGAATTGAAACTAAGTAAGCTCTCAACAGATGCTGATTCTTTTCTTGATATTTTGGAGAAGAGGTGGTGTTAAGATTACAATGTTGAATGGGCTAAACCATATTAGATCGGCGGAGGAGGCCCTTCTCCGGGAGCCCTCTGTGAAGGATATTAGGAGGGTGAGTACCCGGAGGAGGCCCTTCTCCGGGAGCCCTCTGTGAAGGATATTAGGGTGAGTACACGGAGGAGGACCTTCTCTGTGGTGGCACCCCACCTATGGAATGCGCTCCCCAGAGAGGTCCACCTGGCACCATTGTTATTTGTTTTTTGGCGCCAGGCCAAGACCTTTTTATTTAAACGATACTTTAATTGTTAATTGTTTTTATTTATTGGTTTTAAACTATTGCTGAGATGCTCCGAATTTTTAATGTCTATCCTATGTTTGTTTATCCTCTTTGTAAGCCGCCCCTAGGCTTTCTGCAATGGGGGCGGCATAAAAATGCGCGCGCTCTCTCTCTCTCTCTATAAAGCATGCATGTATCATAACTGAATATTTTTGGGATATTGAAACACCTGCTAAATAAAAAGTTGGGACAAAGCTAATGTGGGAGCCACCTCCTTGTCAGCATACCTGCTTAATCTTAATTCCGGATGTATAAGGACTAGGGGCATCATCCTAGCCCCTTGATGTTGATGTCTGATTGGTGCCACTCTGCTTGTGGAAAGGAAAACCCCTGGACAGAAGTGTTCTGCTTTGGGAAAGGCCCATGCTGAATCTGGGTGGAAAGCTGCTGTTGGGTCCACCAGATTGTGGACCTAGTAGGGCTCCTGATATGGAGTGATCAGCTGCCCCAGCTGTGAGGGTGGGGTAGCTCTTCCTGCCACCTGTTGCTGTCCTTGGAGAAGGGAAATTATGAATGTAGGAATCCACTGGGCTGAAAATCCTGGTGGTGAAATCCACCATGCCTCTCCTCCTTGGCTCCATTTAGGATTACTCTGTAAATAGTCTGTTTTTTTAAACATTCCTTATAGAAGCCAATATTTGTATGTGTTGTAATATGTGTATATATGTATGTGTGCATTTGTGTGTGTGATAGACACACACACCAAAATAACTGTGGCATCAGCAGACCAAGTGTTGGCATTTAAAGCCGTTATTTAAAAGGACACAGTTAATTTTCTAACAAAATATTTCAGTGTTTTCAATCCTGAATTTGAACATGTATTTTTTCATTTTAAAGAATAATTAATCTTCTCATATAGGATCGAGGTGATGAATTTACTTACACTGGGAGTGGTGGAAGAGATCTTTCCGGCAATAAAAGGATTGGAGAACATTCGTTTGATCAAACGCTAACACACATGAACAGGTAGATGTTGAAGATATTTGCCATTTCCTTTTATTTAAAGGAGAAAACTTTTAGCAGAGTCAGGATTTTATCCATTCATTATTTTTAATTATAAACTACAATTTAGATACATCATTCTTGTAATCTTTATAAGGATTTAATTTGAAACTAGATAGGGAATGCCTTGAAAAAGTTTATATAAAATGTAGATTGTGAATTTCTAAGGCCACTGACCTGCTTTTCTGTTTTCTTTTTACTCTGATGGTACAAATGGTAACAACTGGGCTCTAAAAACAGATTCTGAAGAAGAAATTGAAAACATTTACACAGGTGTTCAAGAAAAAAAATTGTATCATACCAAAACAATACATGCTGAAAATCCTGGATGACTGGCAAGTAAAAATAGGAAATAAAGCAGAATCAGCTGCTGTAGGAAAATTTTGCATGGGGGTAAGAAATGAAACAAGTGGATGACTCATAGGATTGTGTCTTGCAAATACATACTTCAAGCAACCAACCAGACTACTGTATGCATGGACATCATGAGATGGTCCCTACAGAAATCAAACTATGCAATTGAAAGCAGAAGATGGAAATGCTGTATTCTACAATACCAGGAATAGATTGCCACAGTGACCATAAAATTTAGATACCAAAATCAAAATGCCAAGCCAAACTTGATCAATAACACATATTGCCAAAATACAACTTAAGTAACATTCTTGAGGAATTTAAAGTCTATCTAGAACAAATTTGCATTATTTAGTTTAACTGACCATGAGTCAGGGGAACTGTGGACTGAAGCCAGAGACATTAGGGAACAATGCCAAAGGACAATTCCTGTAGCGAATAGATGGATGACAGAAGAGACACACTTGCTAAGAACAGGTGACAAGCAAAAAGGTGACAGACATGGAGTCAGATCCTGAATACAACTTTTCAGTGATTACCACAAAGACATCAAAAGAACTATTAGTGACCAGTGCAAAGAACTAGAACAGGACAAGAAAAGAACAAAAGACCTCTTCTACAGGATCCAGGAATTCAAAGGGAAATTCAGTACTAGATAGGGAATGCTAGAAGACAAAATGGGGGGCGGGGTCACACTATTTGACCCAGAAAAAATAAAGAGAAGGTGGAAAGCATATACAGGAGAACTATACAGAACAGATGAAAGGATGACAGACTTCTTTGAAGAGGAACCCTCTGAAGAAGAGCCTGCAGTATTAGAAAGCAAAATGAAAACTGTTCTAAAAGTACTTGGAAGAAGCAAAGCACCCAGAGTAGATAGGGTAGCTGTAGAACTATTCCAAGCTGCAAAGAATAAATAGGTTTACATCCTTACAAGAATATGCCACCAAATAAGAAAAACAGAACAATGTCCCACAGAGTGGAAATGTTCAATATACTTTCTTACCCCCAAGAAAGGAGACGCAAAAGAGTGTAGCACACATAGGACCATTGTGCTAATTTCACCTTTAAACGAAGTGGTGCTCGAAGTATTGCAACAAGGAATATTGCACTACATGAAGTGAGAAATACCTGACATTCAAGCTGGGTTCCAGAAAGGAAAAGGCACTATAGATCATATTGCAAATATATAGTGGCTACTGAAGCACACCAAAGATTTTCAGAAGAAGATAGCCTTTGCTTTATCAATTACAGCAAAGACTGTGTGTGCATCCTGAAAAGCTATAGATGGTCCTAAAAGAAATGGGGGTGCCTCAGTACTTGATTGTTCTGACACGTAACCTGTATCGTGAACAACTGTTAGGACAGAATAAACAGAATGGTCTCCCATAGGCAAAGGTGTCCAGCAAAGGTGTATTCTATCTCCCTATCTGTTCTGTGCACAGAACATATAAGGAAAGCTGTGTTACAATCAGTGAAACAAGTGAAAATTGGCAGAAGATACAGCAATAATTTAAAATATTACTAATACTTCATTTCTATACTGCCCCACAGCTGAAGTTCTCTGAGTGGTTTACAACAATAGATGAATATTCCAATGATACTGTACTACTAATGAATTGAAATGACTCCTGATGATAGTGAAAGAAGAAAATTCAAAAGCAGGGCTGCAGCTGAATATTAAGAAAGCAAAAATCATGATTACAGAAGAAACTGAAATGTTGGAAGATTTTGCATACCTTGGCTCAGTCATCAATTCAGATGGAGACAGTAGCCTAGAAATTAGAAGAATGCTGAGACTTGGAAGGGCAGCAATGAAGGAACTAAAAAAGATCCTCAAGTGTAGGGATGTTTCACTGGAGACTGAAGCCACGATCATCCACATGATTGTGTTCCCAAATAGCATATGGGTGTGAGAGCTGAACAGTGAAGAAAGCCAACAGGAAAAACATTGATGCATTTGAAACGTGGTTCTTGAGGAGAACTTTCTAAAGACTTTGGACCAACAGAAGGATGAACAAGTGTGTCTTAGATCAAATCAAGACAGGGCTTTACCAACAGCAAAAATGACAAATCATGAAAAATCAAGACTCCCTGAAGAAGACAGTCATACAAGGGAAAACTGAAGGCGGAAAAGGAAAACCATGTATGGGATGGCTTGACTCCATAAAGAAGCCACAACCTTGAATTCAGAAGAGCTGAGCCATGGATAGTACATTTTGGAGGGTTTCATTCATAGGATTGCCATAAGTTGGAGACAACTTGATGACATGTAAAAACAAATAACACTGTTACCACTGTAACAGATATCATTGTTATAATGGACCAAGAGAAATTAATCTTTAAACTTAACTTCCAGTCATTATCAACTGAATATTGCCAGGTGCTAATTGTTTATTGGAAAATTTTCTCTGGGAGAGATGAAATAGCCTAACAGATACATTTTACTAGGAAGACAAGGTGTTTCAGCTTTCTTTATACCCATTTCATGGTAAATCAAATTGCACAGTAGATATACAATATTGGAAATGGATCGATTCTTTAAAAAAAACAATACTGTGTCATTTCATAGAAGAGAATCTGATGGGATAGTTGGGATTGCAAATGATTTAGTGTTAATTGAAAATATACAACACACTTTATCCTTGTAGGACATAACGAAGCCCTTTCTTCCTTCATTCTGTGTAGCTGTGGGCCAGACACAAGTTGTAGCATGGGGCATGTGACCAATGCTTCCTGTGGGATGTTTTTCACACCTCATTCAGGCAGAGGTTCTTTTCTTTCTGAGCTGGAAGGATGTGCTGTTAAAGCTTTAGGAAACATTCCATCCTATTAAGACTTCTAAAAAATATTTTTCAGGGCACTGGCTCTAAATTGTGATGCCCCGCTGGATGATAAAAATGGAGCTGAATCTAAAAACTGGAGAGCCGGAAAGCCAGTTCGAGTGGTTCGCAGCTCCAAGGGTCGAAGAATCAGCAAATACGCCCCTGAAGAAGGCAACAGATACGATGGCATTTACAAGGTGCTTGTTCTTCTGCGTTGCACCACTCGCACTTAAAATGCTAATAGCAACGCATGTCTTGTTCTGCTGGGAATGGCACTGGGTCAGTAGCAGTGTGAGTGGAAGGCCACTTGTGGCACAGCACCTCCTTTCCAGGGCAGTTTCCTGCAAAGCCTCTCCCGAGGGTTCGAGGGGCCTTCTGGCTTGTGGGGCAGGGGAGGGGAGGATGGTTGAAGGTCGCACAGCATCACCGCAGCTCCTGTGAGCAGAGCTCTGCTCGCAGAAAGGTGCCTGTGGACCGTGCTTGGTGGGCCCACGCTTCCATTGCACTGCCCCGTGTCCCAACACTGCAAGACCCTCTGGAACTTGGAGTGGCATTTCGGGCAGAGTTAAGTTCACAGTGGGGAGGAGGAGGCCACAAAGCCCCACTGCAAAAGCAGCTTTTTGTTCACACAACCTAGGCAAGTGACCCTACAAAGGGGTGTCCAAGATGGGTGGGAATTTTTTTAAAGGAGATTTTAAAAGACAATTCCAACAAAAACAAAAAAAACCAAGATGGAAGAAACCAATGTGGCTCCACAAAAAACTTCCAAATTGAGCTAAAAACGAAAAAGGACATGTATAGGAAATGGAAGGCACAGGTGGCAAAAGAAGAATACACACAGGTGGCACAGATCTGCAGGAGTGACATCAGGAAGGCTAAAGCTGAGAATGAAACAGCAAGTTTTTTTTCCCAAGGATGTTCACTGTAAATGACCAAGAAAGGAAATGGTAGTTCAGCTACTTAATGAGAAGGGCAAATTGGTGACAGATGACAAAGAAAAAGCCAAAGTGTTCAATTTCTACTTTGGCTCAGTATTTTTCCAAAAGCAGGTCTAGAAATAAACTACAAACCAAAGGGTCAGGATTGAAGTTTGAGATTAATAAACAGTCAAGGAACACCTAATTTCTTTGAGTTCAGATCTCCAGGGCCTGATGAGCTCCATCCTAAAGTAATAAAGGCACTGGCAGAGGCAATATCAGAACCACTATTTATTATCTTTGAGAAATCATGGAGGATGGGTAAAGTGCTGGATGACTGGAGGAGAGCCTATGTTGTCCCCATCTTCAAGAAGGGTGATCCTGAGAACTACAGACCAGTTAGCTGACACCAGTCCCTGGGAAAATTCTACAGCCGAAATTAGAAAAGTCAGTCTTTAAGCACCTGGAAGGCAATGGAATAATTACTAAAAGCTAGCACAGATTTATCAATCAAGAACTAGTCTTGCCAGATGAATCTCATCTCATTTTTTGGTCAGGCGACCTCCATTGTGGACTGTGGGAATGCTTTTGACTTAATATATTTTAACCTCAGTAAAGCTTTTAACAAAGTTTCCTATGAACTTTGATTAGCTAAAAGTGGGCTAGAAATAAATATATATTAGAAATAAATATAAAGAATTCAACAAACCTTCAGACTGTGACAAATTACACATAAATAATGGGAACTTTTGTAATTTAGGTGGTGAAATACTGGCCAGAAATTGGAAAGTGTGGATTTTTAGTTTGGCGCTATCTTCTGAGAAGAGATGATGCTGAGCCTGCACCTTGGACTTCAGAAGGAATTGAACGGTCAAAGAAATTGGGCTTGAGTTTACAGGTTAGAACTTCACTGCCCCAGTTTTAGCAAGTTTTACTGAAATATAACCTTCTAAAGTGTATGATAAACCTCACTGCTCAGTTGAAAATGTCTTGTAGTAAGGTTCTTTGGGTTCAGCTTTGAAGATGTTAGATGATTAGGTAAAACAAGAAGAATTATGCTTTTCTTAGAAGCTCAGCATGGATGCACACCTTATTTCATACTGTTTGTGATCAAGTGCTTGTTTAGCAGTTGAATGCTTGTTTCATTGAGCATTTGGGTTCCTAGACAGGTTGCTTAAAACAGCCCTCAGACCCCCTGATCAGTTTCAGAAGTTAATGGGTCGACTACTGCCCACTGGTCTGCCAGTCTGTTCCCTGTTGTAAGATAGAAACACAGGAGCAAGGTTCAGCTTGTGTCTCCAGGCAAGGATGGTGTTCTGTGGGCCAGTTGGGTGAATGCTTGCTCTTTAGGCAGCCCTTCCATGGCCACAGCCCTCTCCCATGTAAAAGATCACATCCTCAGTTTTCCTAATACATTGTTTTAGAAGTAAGTTCCGTGTTCATGTGTGGGTTATATATATATATAGATTAGTTTGATTTTAAAACATGCTTACTTGTATACGAATATTGGTTAATACACTTCTCACATGCACGGCTTTTCTGTTGTAGTACCCAGAAGGCTATTTGGAAGCCATGGCTAGTAAAGAAAAGAAGGATAAAGTAAAAAAGCAACCTGTGAGACAGGAGCCAACAGAACAGAGCAATGGAAATCAGAAAAGGCCACTTGATTATGGTATGGCTGCTGGGGTCACTTGCTGGGGTCTGTCCGTGGTCAGAGCTAAAAGGTCTAAGGCCAGTGCCCAAGCGTGGTTTTCCTGGGCCCTGTGCAAATTTCTTTCTTCACAGCTACGAGGAGTTTACCTTTTCGTATTTGCTCTCACTTGCCCTCTCCTGGATTCACTTGGAAGTCTTTCTCTGCCAGCATTCTGTCTGCCCATCTGCTTCTTTGCTCACAGCTAGTCAGTGAACCAAGGAGCTGAATGAGCACAGAGAAGGCAGCCACTCGGGTCATCTCAGGATCTCAAAGAGTGACCAGGGTGTCAGGAGGAGAGCCAGCCATGCTTGGCAGAAACGCTGCACGAGCTTTTAGAAGTCCATACCCATGTATTAGCCACCAGGGCTGATTATTCCGATTGGTTCCTCACCCCCAGAGAAGAAGAGTCACAGGAAACCCAAACCATACCAGGATGTGATCTGACCATAGCAAGTAAGTCAGAGTGAAATCCCGGCATCATTCTCAAAATGCTCACAACACCACACCTGAGGCAACTGGTGTCAACTCAAGTGAGGGGATTTGTTGGGCAAGTGAGTGTTTCGTACACCAGCCAAATTCTGCTTGGTCCGGATTGCCCAGGACCAGGCACAAGCCCTCAGTATTTAATTAATTAATTGATTAATTAAAAACATTTCTATGCCGCCCCATTCGCCGAAGCCTCGGGGCAGCTCACAACATAAAATACAAGAAATAACAATATAAAATAAGTCGCCCTGGCCAGATAAAATAAGCAAATAATATTAACAATTAAAATGACGCTTAAATAAAAAGGTCTTCGCCTGGCGCCGAAAAACAAATAACGACGGCGCCAGGCGGACCTCTCTGGGGAGCACATTCCATAGGTGGGGCACCACCGCAGAGAAGGCCCTCCTCCGAGTACCTACCCTCCTAATTTCTTTTACGGAGGGTTCCCGGAGAAGGGCCTCTCCCGCAGATCTCAAGGAAGAGTAATGATGCTCTTCCTTATAGAAAGGAAGATAAGGAGGAACATAAGAAGCTCCTTATACATGGTCAAACCCTTAGCTAGTCTACTGCAATCTTGTTCCCACCACCTGGCAGAAAACAGAATATTAAATGACCTAAAACTTCATTAGTTTAGTTGTCATCACGGTCATTATATTATTGTATTATTCTCAAGAATAAAACCTAATGGGATGAATTCTTAACATCTCTTTGGTGAACATTCCTTCCCTTGTGGGAGTTTTAGGAATTGCAAGATTATAATAATGGATTGGTGATAATATTTTTCAGAAGGTATAGTGGAACCTGCAAACACAGCCAAAGCCATGAGGATGGGAGATGGAGGGAAAGGAGAATCTTTCCAGCTAACTCAGCAACAACAGTGGCTGATTCAAGAAGACTCCCCGAACCAGAAACTCTGGGATGAAGTTCTAGTTTCTCTTAAAGAAGGACCAGTATGTTTTTACTTACATTTTGCATTTTTACCCTTTCTTACAATGAATGAAAGGAGTTAATAGGTAACATATTCAGTAAGAGGCATTGCTGAGATAGCCTAATCCTCCATAAAATGTTTTACAAGGTCTGTAGAAGGAAGTGGGCACGCTTTGATTTTTTAAAAAAGGTCTCTTAATAAAAAGGTTAAAGGTTTCATCATCTGAGGTGTTTTTCAATTTTCCTGTTCTAGAATTTTTTAAAGAAACTGGAACAATCCTTTATGTGTGTCTGCTGCCAGGAGCTGGTTTACCAACCGGTGACCACAGAGTGCCTCCACAATGTCTGTAAAGTAAGTAGGAGTGATCTTGATCCTGATGCTGTGGAAGGACGTGTAAAGAAAGCATCTAAACTTCTTTTGAACCCAAATGTGTCCCTTTGTGAGGCAGTGAGTAGATGCAATTTTCAGCCTGAAAGTATCCTGCCCTACTGTAATATTGAGGCTGTATTTAAATAATAGGTTATTGGTTTTCTTTTGATTAAAACAGTGAAATTTGCATTATGATCAGGTGCATCTGGACTAGGTCTCAGTGCATACTTGTGTTACTGATGCAGTAGATATCCAGTATAATTGAACTATTCAAGTGTAATATAATATGTGACAGAAGAGACTTAGAAAAATGTTGGGCTACCTTTATACAGAAAAATATGAATTATGCAAAATGTCTGTCATACTATAATTGAAATACAAGTGTCCTGTTGATGTATGCTAATTAGTCTTGCCAGTTTTTAAAATCACAAAATGGCTTTCTGAAGAAACTAGGGTTATTACTTCCCTAACTGAGGTATAATGTGTTGGTGAACTAGGTTTTAAGTTCTGTCATGCCCACTTCTGCCCGTTATTGTTCTAGAGCTGTTTACAGCGCTCTTTCAGAGCTGAAGTCTTCACCTGCCCCGCTTGCCGGCATGACCTTGGAAAGGGTTACACCATGGTTCCCAACAAGGTGCTGCAGACACTACTTGACCAGTTCTTCCCTGGTTACAGCAAAGGACGATGATACGCGTTCAGTTCCCAACGCCATTCTCCGAAGGACTTACAGACTTTAAAAAAGCAAGGAACTAGGAAAACTCAACGGCGGACCAGCTGGCTTAAGGGAATTCACTTTACTGCCCCATTGTGCAACAGTTAACGCAATCTTTTGTTCCCATTTAGCAGTCTTTTGTGTAGTACCAACTTTGAATTCTCAGCTGTCTTTCAGCACTGACGGTAGTTTTGGACAGATGACACCTAGTTTGCGCACAACAAAACAGAAGCCTTGGCTCGGGCCAGAGTAGCAGCGAATGCTTCGGTTTGTTTTTGTAACTACCTCAGATGGAGGAAAACAATTGTGGGGAATTTTAAGAGCACGTCAGATAAGGTGTAGCTACACGCTGCCTCCTGAACCTTAGTTTTGCCTGGGCCATGCGGTTTGATTTTACACCAAGGAAACAGCACTTAAGCCAGTTTTTATTACCGAACATCAAATTCTGTGGTGTGCATCATCCTTTTTTGTGTTTCCTCCCATTATGCTGTATTTCTTTCTTCTTTTGCAAGAACAAGCTTTTAGTCTATTTTTGTGAGCGTCCTTGTGCTCTCGTATCTTATGCAAGTTGACTACTAATGACTGAGAACAATATGAATGCATTGTCGCTGTTAATGTAAAGTGATTTGTGTTTTTTGCACTTAAAGAGGGTATTTAAGACACTCTAGTTGTGTAAAAACTATTTCATATGAAACAGGCCACTTTTGTATTAGGTAAAACTGTTTGCTTTTAGTAGGTCTTGTATCAGTGGCAATACATCTTCTACAGCATTGAGAACAGTGCTAGCTTGGAGAGGGCTCGACTCGCTTCATATTGTGATCTGAAATTTTATATACAGTATATCCCCCTTCCCTGAATATACCTTATTAAATATTTTATGATTCATAAAGTGTTAATTGTTTATATTTTACAGCCATAACATTGTAAGCATTGCCTAAAGAAGGGCTTTTATATTTGACAGGAATATTCCATTTTTGATAAGCAGGACAAATTATTCTGGATGTTATGTTAGTCTTTGGGGCATTTACCTTGGAAAGCCCATGTTATAAAAATGGTATTTTAAAAGACCTTAGTTTCAAAGATTTGCATTTTCTTATCTGCTTTAGATTGCAGTTCAGCAAGAAACATACTGATCCGACAGCAAATAACATAATGCTGCTTAAATATGTACAAAGCATATTTCTTAGCTGTTCCTGTAAAGGTGCAAGACAGGCCAATATTATCCCTATATTATGTACTAGAGACTCAGATTTTGAGCTGCTAGACTAGTCCAGATGGAAAGTTAAACCGTAATTTAGCATTATGTGAATAAACCTGCTTGGGCTTTCAGTCCCTCTGCACCAGCAGAGAAGATGATAAAAAATTGAAATGGTCTCTAGGTTAATATAGTTTGTGAACAAGCCAGGATCATGACCACAGTTTGATCCTTGCTCTTTCTTAACTACTCACACTTTAATTCAAGTTAAGTAAAACATAATAGGAATCTTTTATTAGTTAAATTAGTTAAAAATTGAAAGTCAAAACTTTGAATCCTCTAGGGTGCACTGATTAAGGGGCTAGGGGAGTACGTGGGTCTGAGGCTCAAGTAGGCTTATTCCTGTAATGTCTGAACAGGCCCACTGCCTGCCTCATGGTTACCTAGAGAGCTGGTGATCACAGCAGTGATTTGGACGTTGTGGCTGCAGTTCATCCAATGCTGAGCCATAAATTGCTTTATGTGCATGAACAGGGTGGACCCTTGAGGTCATACTGTCTTTCTGCCGGACTGCTTCTGTGATGGAAGAGTGAGGCTGGAAGTTTTCATTTCTGCCTTGCTAACCATAGCTGCTTGTTACGGACAAAATGGACAAAGTGTTGTCAGGGGGAACTACAGATGGGGTACAATTCCACTTACCCCTGAGCATTGGTTATGCAAGTAGGAAGATGGCAATGACCTGGGAGGGTGGAGTTGCCCACCCCAGATGTAGGGAAACATACCCATTTCAAACTGTAGTTAATGATCCAGCCTTACTCTGGTTAAAGCATGCTCAAACTGTTGCAGGTTTTTGGTTTGGGCATATAGTAGCTGTAGTTAGTTGCAAATGGTGGAAGCTCCTGACTTCATAGTTGCCACAGAGAAGGGCAGGGGGTGAGGAAATACACGAGTCACTAGACCATGGACATAACACTAAAGTATGGTTGAGGGCTATGTACACACCAACCCAACGTGCCATCACTTCATTTCGCCAGGGGACTGATTGTATTACTGTTATTGGCATGTAAAATGTTTAGTATCCTCTGATTTGGAAAGCTTTGTGTGTGGTATTTTCAAATGTTTAAGAGTCTAGTGATGCAGCCCCATTTCATCCTCTTGGAAACAGAGAAGAGTCATTACCTGTTCAAAATGTTGAAAAGTTACTGTGTTTGGGCAATCTTGTGCCAAAGCAGCCTCCACCGTACAACTAAAAGCTAGAGTCAAATACAAGGAGGGAGGCCATTTTCCATTGTAGTAGATGCTGTCTATTCAGAAATAAGCACCATTTAATTCATTGGACCTTATTTCCAAGAAAATGGGTATAGGATTGCGATCACAGTTTCATTTGGAGCAGTATTTGTACCGCAGCAAGAAAAAACTCAACATCCCTTCTCCCTCCAGTGGAGAGACCCTTCTGTACTGGGGTTAGGGGGAATAAAAAATCAGAGGTAAGGACCTTTCATGGTGGCTTTGCTCACATCAATCCTGCTTGATGTTGGCCAACTTTGCCAGTGTCTGTTCTCATGCTGTCCAGGAGGGTCCCTCTGCCCTCCAAGTAAGTTATGTGGGAGGATGTAGGGAGAAGAGATAGCACTCATCTGTGAGCTTCCTTCTGTATGTTGTAGGACTGAAGCATTGTTTGCATCATATTTAACTGCTGGTTGGCCCAGAGTACAGAGCTGGGCAGTCAGACATAGTTCCTATTTCTGTAAGGCACAACTTTGATAAAACAACCCGTTCCTTTTGTGCAGCAGCTACACAACAGTTCTCATGGCAGCCATCGGTGTCTTTAGTGTGTAATTCCATTTTGGTAAATGCTGACGTATCTTGGTTTATTGTAAGATGGCAGCTTTAAAAAGTGATTTGTTTTCTGATGTGTGCTGTAAAGGATGTCTTGCCATCCTTTATATTTCAAATAATAAATTCGGATTGTTTGTTGCACTTGCATTAATTACCCTTGCAAATTGCACTATATATGCTGTCAATAGTTCCCATGAGTGATTTATTTTCCAAGCCATTCTGTAGCCAAATTTGGCAGCAATTCTCCACTCATTCTAACACATTGAGGGAGCTATACCACAGCTATGCCACATAACTGGAGCAGGCCTAGACTGTTGTATTTGGTTTACCATTTCTAATAGTTTATTATACACAATTGTCAAATGCAGGAAACACTTTCTTTCATGAAAAAAGGATAATTAAACCATAACAAGTGGAGGCAACTCATCACTAAGTATCAGGAATGGCCTTAGTACTGGAAGAGCACAGTCCAATGCCTGCTCTTGCAGATGCCCGTAAGTTTCCAAACGGGAAGCTGATGGGCATGCTGTGCCCAGACCAAGACACACCAATGAAGCGCTCTGCTGCTGTGGTCATTGTGCTGCGCATTTTTTCTAGATGGCTGTTCTCAGCCTTCTAAATGAAGCACCAGGGACGGAGGGGAAAGGAGTCACTGAGAGTAAACGGCGGAAGCCATCAGAGCAGGCTCTGTCCCTCCCCTGCTGGTACGTCTCCTCTCTCCTCTGCAATGCCCAGCTGCATCCTCATCGAGTGGACACAATGCTTTCTGCCGTGGCCATGAGGACTTCCAAGCTGGGCCTCTGAATAACCCTTATACCACCCCAGGCAGTGTTGGGTGGCCACAGAATTGCCCCCAAAGTAGCTTGCGCTGATCTTTTGCTGTTCTTTTATTCAAAGTGCCCATTTCATCAATCTAAATTAAATCTGCCAGAGAAAACAGGATCCTTGCTGATCATTAGCAACACAAAAAGAAAGACTGTTTCTGCGTTTCAAGTACAGTTAACCTTTTGGATACTGAGTGCTTCCAAAATTGGCATGGGGACTAGGTCCCAAATGCATTAAGGACACAATCCTGGCTGGCTCCTCATAAGGAAAGTTCAAGTCCCTGCAGCAACCGCGGAAAAGCCCTCTGATGCCATAAAGGGTACCAAGTCGGCAGAGGGCACTCCTTCCTGTCTTGCAGCCAGTGTGGTTCTTTGTACAGAGATGGAAGACCATCTTCAGAACAGGTACTTGGCGAGGGTAATTCTGGGAGGCAGGGAAGAAGCATGAAGTGCTGCCACTTAACAACTCCAAGCAGCTCCTTGGTCCTTCTGCCTTGTGAGCAGGAGAGAAACAGATCAGCCTTCCTCAACCCTGTGCCTTCCAGGTCTGTTTGGACTGCAACATCCAGAATTCCGTCAATGGCCCTGCTAGATGGGGATTCTGGCAGTTGCAGTCCAAATGCCCCTGAAGGCCACCAGGTTGGGGAAGGCTAATTTAGATAGCCAGAAATGGGCCCTGGAACTGTGCTGGAGGGTGAGGGGAGCACTAGGCGGCCTGTGTCTCCCTGCTGGGTTGAATGCCCATAGCCTTCTGGGCCAGAGGCCTGCAGGAAGCCCCATGGGATAGTGTCCTAAATTAATTCAGAGTTGTACACTGGGGGAGAGCCAAATGCTCATCTCCAGATTACAAGCCCCCTGAAGTTGCCACGCCTACAATTCTGCTTGTTTTTCATGTGCTTATTTCACATAATGGGAATATGACCCATATGCAACTGGTAGGTGAATATTACCATGGGGTGCTTTCATTTATGGGCAACAGAAGCCACTGTAATGAGACTTTAGAGGCGTTTCCTACAGGATGAAGATTCCTGTAGTGGCTTTAAAAGAAATAAATCAGGCTTCTGATGATCTGGCAGGTTTTCAGAGCAAGATCCTACCATTGCTTTTGTTTTCAGCCAAATGAGTTAACACTAGAAGAGCAGCAAGTTGATATGAGATGAGCATTTAAGCTGAAAGCAGCTTCATTTGAGACAAATTCAGAACACTGACCACTGACCCACATAAATGGCTGAGATGTGGGGTGGGGCATACAAATTATGCCTTACCTTCACCTCCAGCAGCCCCACATCCCAGGCCTTTCCTGAGTGTTAGGAATGACTTCCCAGAGACTCAGAACTAAAGTGAAAAGGACACAACCCTCTACAAATAATTTAAGTACAAGTCTACATATCACACACTCAACAATCCTGAGTGTTTGAAATCATACTTCAAAACCTTCCAAGTCTACTAGTTTTTTATTAGAATACTAACATTAGGAGTTTAAAAAAGGGAAAATACTTAATAATATGATTAGCAGTTGTGGTAATACACATAAGCGGAATTAATCTAAACGTTAAGTCTACTGCCACAATCCAATATGGGATGAGGTGCATACTGAAGCGGCTTGACTTTATTTCACTTAACTTACCCAGCTATGCTGATTGTGGCCTCTCCAGTTTATACAAAGTGAATCGTAACTACGCTTAGTCTCCCAGCAGCCTGAGCCTCAGCAGGAGTAAGACTGTGCATGGAGGCCGCTCTGCAGCATAGAGCACATCGAGGAGCATAGCTTACTTCATGCAACGGCATCTTTGCAGGGGCCGTTCTACCAGCAGCACCGCCACAGGCCACAGCTCCCACTCCAGCCTCGGGAGCGTGTGCCAGGGCCAGAGCTGGGCACTGGACTCCGGCGCACCCTTCCTCTGCCTGCAGCTGGTGCTCTTCTTTCCTCGCCAGCTGTACTCTGGTAGGGGTGGAGGGAGTGAGGCAGTGCCTCAGCCTCTCTTTGCAAAGAGGGGCAAAAGCCTGCCAAAATCAGCCCACTGCCGGTTTTGCTTCTGTCCTTCTGCCCACCCTTCCTCCGGATGCCCAGAGTCCTCTGAGTTGGGCGCATTATGGGCAGCCAGATCAGATGGCGCTCTCAAGCCATAATCACAGAAAAGCAGCCTTGGTTCAGGATAGAAAAGAGTGCAAAATCAAGGCCTCCGGCATGGACTGCAGTGGAAATGGAGGCACCGCACTGTCAGTTTGTTTCCACCTAATGCAAGTATATTTACATGTAGCTGTACAGGAATTTAATTGTGAAGATTACAAAAAATATACACTGTATATAAAGTTTGCTCCCTGGGCCAAAAATGCCCATCCATTTTCATGAAGTTAAATATAGCTGGGGAGATGGAGCCCAGGCATCCCAAAAGAAGCAGATAATTTGTGGAGAGGCTGGTCCTAAGATGAAGCCCTCTTCTGTTCAGCAAAAGGCGACTCGTAGACTTCCATGGGTGGGCAGGTACAAACCAGGTGCTGATCTCCGTAGATGTCGTCAATTCTGGCAATGGTCGGCCAGAATTTATTTTCAGGTTTGACAAAAGACTAGAGAACAAAAGGGAGAAATGTGTAGGGAAAATACTCAGTATGTAACACAAAGATAGGGTGCATTAGAAAGTATGCTGTGAGGTGAGAAATAGGCACCAGGCCGTTTCATTCCACACATACAAGAGCTGGGGTACTTTGGAAAAGAAATCAAAACCAGACTTTTTCTTAACTAGATGAAATTCGTTAAAGGAACTCATGGCAAGTGTCTTTGCTTTCCTTGAATGGCTGGCTGGCAGCAATGCAGTAACAAATTGCCTTCAATTCTCCTCATTTCAAAAGCAGCTTTTCAGTGGCACTGGTGACAGGCCGACTCTTTCAGAAATAAGCCGGAAGCCCTGATGCGTGAACAGAATTCATCTTCCAGTTCCTCAGACCTTGGCACTTCTAAATGTGGGTGGGTTTGATCCACATCTGGTCAAACTTAGTATTAGACCACGGAAATTAAGGGAGCCTTATGTTAATCATTACTAAGTTAAACCCTATAGATTTCAGTGCCTCTAATCTAACTATGACCAAATTGGATGCAGGTGAAGATACGCAAGTACTGTGTTTAGGATCTGGTACTGGTGTTCACTGTAGAGGTCGCAAGCTGTGTCCCAGCAGTCACTGTGGAAGTCAGATACCACAGTTTAAATAACCCTCAAAGGCCCATCGCTCATCATGCTAATTGGCCCAATGAGAAGTTACCCATAAGTACACGCACATAGGAAGCACCAGTTTTCATATTCTGTATTATAAAACATTCAGTTCCCATCAAACACTTGCTGGGGGGGGGTCCCCATTTTCAAGCCCCCCAGACACCCTTCAGCTGAGGGTCATCCAGAGCCAACCTAAACAGGATGGGTAATGTGTCTTTGCACTGAACGTGCAGCTTCGCTCAAGGCCTCGGAGCAGACCGAGGCATCTTCCTGCAATTGCTGGAGGCAGTGAGAATTGGAGGGAAGAAGTCCCTCGCTGCAGTCTTGAAGGGACCTCTCCTGAGCAGCGGGTCCTGGCTTTGGGCAGAGGCCTCCTCTTGCCACCAGGGGCTGCCCGTCAAGTCTGGCCTTCAAACGTACCCATAATGAGAAATATACTCACCCTCTGGCAGATCTAACATAGATTTAATATAATAAGAAAGGAGAAAGGTTGGCCAGAATGTTCCTAATAAAACACTTCCCAGCAGAAGCGTTTCTTAGTTAACATTTATTTATTTAGATTTTTATATACCACCTCATTGTCATAGGCTCTGGGCAGTTTATCAGATATTAAAATCAACAAAAGTTAAAATTTCAACTAAAAACAGTCATATTAATAAAACTAGTCTGGAAACTCATTGAGAAAGGCCTGTTGGAAGAGACATGTCTTTAACTCCCTCTTAGAGGAAGCAGTCTGGGATATCCACCATCTCTCTCCCATCAATCTCTCTCTCAATACAACATGGTTACTCAAACACTAGTTAACAAAAAGTTCTGATATTAATTCATTACTTACTATTGGAAATACCGCAACTTCTCTGGAGTATGGTCGATCCCAGTTTGGAGCTGAAATGCAGGTCAGGGTGTGTGGTGACATCTAAGTCAAGAAAGACACAAATGGATCAGGACCCAGGAAATCACTCCACTTGTTTTCTCAAAGCCATTCCAAATACATCAATTGCTGAAACAGCAAACATTGCTCAGCTGCTCAGACGATGGCCTCAGCGGAGAGAAGGGCCGTGCCCTGCTGGAAGCCACTGGTCCGGGCGCTTCTGGCAGCCGCAGTTCCACTGATCCCAGTGAAATCTGAGCTGACACACTTCCTCCAGCTGGGCGCCAGACTGTCTAAGAAATCTTCTTATTGAAGCCTTTCAAAATAAAGTGAAGCCAGGTGCCTCTAATGTGAGCAGGTCTCTCCCTCCCCCTTTTCCTCTCCAGCAGACATAGATGAGAACTCAGAAATTCAACCTTTTCCTTAGAGCTTGGCTGCATACAGCACAGTGTCCATCCATGGAGCATTCTCCTCAAGACATGGGAGGAGCATCTGCCCATGTGAAGAGTGAATCGAGTTGGAAACATCCCCTCCTCTCCCTTTCAGAAAAGCTTCCTACTCCCCTACCCAGGGGCTCCTGCTGCCTGAGGAGAGAAGGTGGGAACGCCAGACACTTCGCAGTGGGTCGGCTTGCTTGCTTTGCCTGTCGCCTCCTGACCAGGTCAAGGAGCTGCTCCCACCCTGCCAGTTCTGGAGGCCACCTCCTTTTCTGGGGCAGGCCGCTTCTCAAGCTCTGCCTGAGCATCTTCACAAAGTAACCTTGAATCTGCCAAGTACCAGACAACTGGGGGATGGTAGGAGGTGTCCTCGGTGTGTATGTGTAGTGGGGTCTTTTGGGGTGAGCTGATGTTGTGTTTGCCTTCTGCAAGGTGGACCTGTTGTGAGGCTATCTGGGGCAAACATGTGATGGGGCATTTGGCCTCTGCCCAGGAGCCATTTCCTTGGCAAAATGTCCTTGTCCCTGAGCTTCATTGGGCTGCCTTCTGGGAAACTGGAGTTGGAGTAAATAAGGGGGGCTGCAAGAGTGCCCTTCTGTTTTGGACTCCCACTTCTGCCTTGCCTTTGGGCAAGTTCCTGGGCAGGTTCCTTGAAATGCAGCTTCACCTGTTCACCTGGGAAATGGGCGCATGTCTTTTCAAACAAATCTCACCACCACAGCGGCCACTCTGTGCACGCCTGTGACACTCGGCCTCCCAGCATGCCTACGGGCCCCAAAGGCTGAAGAGCCCTGCTCGAGCGTGTGGCATACAAGGGGAAATGGCCCAGTGGAGAGCAAGAGAGGTCATACGAGGGTCTTCCGCCTTTCTCTGTGCTGAACTGCACCAAGAGGGGGTCCATCGTACAGCTGGCAGCTTCCCCCGTCATCCCCTTCTTCCACAGGGGACCATTTACTTCAATGCTGGTTTGGAGACACCCGAGAGAGAGGGAGCGGCTGCTTTGACAACGCCTTTGAAAGTGACTTGCCGATCTGCTCTCAGCTTACCTTTAATGGGTTGATTCTAGCATCCATTCTCCCTTCCTCGATATCAGCAATCTCTTGTCGAATGTTGATCATTGCATCACAGAATCTGTCCAGTTCTGCCTTGTCTTCAGACTCGGTCGGTTCAATCATCAGTGTCCCTGCCACTGGCCAGGACATCGTTGGAGCATGGAAACCTACCAAGCACAAACACCCGTCACTGACCTGAGCAGCCAGCAGCAAGCACACCAGCAGCCAGGGCGCTTCTAAAAGGCGGCAATAAAGTGGCACATGTGTGTTGTCCCGGGGTGGGGACAGCATCCGGTCTCTCTGAGGTCTCACCATAATCCTGAAGCCGCTTTGCAACATCCACAGCTTCAATATTTGCCGTTTTCTTGAAAGGCCGCGTATCCAAAATGAATTCATGAGCTATGTACCCTGTATAGAAACAGAAATACTGTTTTCTCTCTCTGGAAGAATGAAATACATGCTCAAGCTAGCTTTATTTTTAGCAGATATTTCTAACACGGTGGCCTTTGGTCTGCACCTTACCTTCAGCTGGTCCTTGTGAAGTGCTCAGTATATTTGCTTCTGTTCTGAGACACTTGATTAAACAGGCTTCTGTGTGTGGCTCCAGAGCATTTTATTTTCCCTAGCTTGTCTAGCAAAACTGTGCAGCATGCCTGCTTTAAACAGAAATATCTGTGTGCCCACATGCACATACAGTATTAAAACTGCTTGAATAATTTGTAGGGCATGGTGGGGGGGACACGCAGATTTCACTGAAAAACTGATATGCTCACAGCTGTTCCTACAGCTTTTGAGAATATCCTCTTAGGCGGATAAGTTCATCCACAGATGCCTTTCAACTGTGCGATTTAGGTTGCCACTGGGCTGGCATTCGTCCTGATCGTGCTTTCTGCTGGGTAGCAGGGAACAGGAGGCAGGTGGGCTAGGAGGGCTGAGGGGATCCCGTTCAAGTGGAACAGCAAGCAGTGTGGCAGTGCACCTCCCAGTCTTCTCTGATCTCCTTCAGGCTTGTTGGAGGAAGAGACATTCTCACTTCAGGCTTCAGTCAGGCCTGGTTCTGTCTGAAGCTTAAACTGGTTGCTCTTAACTTGAGTTTATGGATCAAGTTAGGCTCAAACCATGTTTGATTTTTTCGTGACAACTGCCCACCGCTTATCTGGGTTCAACCATTAAGTTTCACCGTACTGAGTAGAAAACAGCAGGGAAAGCTTCCAAGCTCCCCACCGTGGCTCCAGCTGAGCCAGTCCAGCATCCCTGCAAAGGACAAGCCAGAAGCTCAGCAGCCTCCTTCCTGCAGCACATGCAGCTTGATGGGGCTGCTGCTGGACAGAGTCCCCAGACCTCAAGGGGCACGGAAGGACAACATTACTGACTTTCAAGCAGGGGAGGAGAGTGCACCACTGTAGCTCCCCATGGGTTAGTCTGCATACTGGACCAGGAAAGAACTATTCAAGAAGCTAGGCGGGTTTATTTTAGTTGTGTGGATGAATTTTCCCAAAGGGAAAAGTTACTCCCACAATGCTGTTAGCAATGCTCTGTTAATGGCTTCCCTCGGTCTTGGTGCATTACGATGTACCCCAAAGGCACAGAAGGTAATTTTGGTGAGAATACTTGCCTCTGGCTCCTCTAAAGAGGATTTTGTAGTGCTTCTCTAACCTCTTTGCCATGTAGTTAGCATTTAATATTGCCATTTCAGAGGCATGCTTAAGGCCTTTTCCTCCCATCATCTGCAGAGACAGCAAACAATAATAGTGAAAAGATGAGGTGAAGAATACTGCCAATGTCCCTCATGTCTGTCAAGGTCACTTTTAAAGGAGGGGCATCATTGAAAATTATACTGGAAACCTGCAATGTTCTCTCTGCTCTTTGCAAGGGGAATAGTAGAGAGAGAGAAAGGCTTGGCTGCAGGATTTTTGCTCTACCAGTGGAAGAATACCGGGGGGGGGGGGGAGAGAGAGACAGTACTGAAGTCCCATTCTGCTGGTTGTAACTTTCCATTAGTAATGTAATGTAATAAGCTCTGTAGTAAATCAGTTCTGAGAATATCTGCATTCTCCCAAGATTTCATTCACAAAACCTCTTCATCTTAAGGCTGAAAACAATAAGTTGTGCTACAAATCCATTTATCGCTTCCAACATTGTGCGAGCAGCAGTACGCACAGGAGAATTCCGTTCAAGGAAGATCGTGCCTTTCACAGGCTTCTGGAAAACCCATAAAGAGAAACTTTGCCTTTATATTAATCATACAAGCAGGCTGGGCAACCGGTGGTTCTCCAGACATGTTGGCCTACAACTCGCATCTGCCCTATCCCCACATCCTTGTTTTTCAGACCAGAAACAGCCTCAGGACTATTACAGTATATTAGGAAAAATGGGATGGAGAAATCGCAGAGATGAAATACCTTGATGTAAGCCCAGGAAATAGGCAAAATGGCACTGGATCCCCAAGGGGCAGCACTGATGGTACCTAATGGGTTGGAGCCCTCATCCTGCTGCAGAGCAATGACAGGATGGTTAGGCAGGAAGGGGGCCAAATGCTTCTTCCTAAAAAGGAACAAACGATTTTTAAAAACTCTCTCCTCCCGAATTCGCATCCATCACCCTCAAACCCCTGAGGTCTTCTGAGATATTTGTCTCACAATCTTCTCAGTCTCACAATACTCCAGTACACAAAGACCAAGTTATACTTAAGCATCTTCCATTCAACAGCATCCCCAAAACAGAACAAAGGTTCATTTAAAGTGACAAGAGAGTCCTTACTGAAGCACTTATCCTCTCAAACAGCATCTGGCTTCCCACTTTCTATCCATAAGACAGGAAAAGAAATTATCCTGCCAATACAGGATTGGCAGAAGACCAATACAAGTGATAGGCTGAGAAAGATGCATTCTGTTTATACATAAAGAGGAGTATAAACATGAGTGGACCACAATTCCATATACAGGTGCCTTTTAGGAAACTGCCAGTAGGCCATCCTGGCCCAAGCTGCTGCCCTCCCACTATTTTAGAGGACAAGACCGAGCATTCCTGACTAATGACCATGCTGCCAGCTGGAGGGTGCCAGACAGGGAGAGACAGAACTGAACTAGCTTAATGGGAGATTTTCCAAGGAGCAGGAATGCCCACTCCATCCCAGCCTTAATCCCGTTCCATAACGCTGGATCACTTACACGACAATCCTATGCATGGTTACTCAGAAGTCTCATTGTGCTAAGTTACTTACTCCTTTCTATACTGTCTGACAGTCACAACTCTCTGGGCAGTTCACAATAATTAAAATCATGAAATGAGAAAATGTGGGCTGACTCCTTGGTGAACCTGCTTACAGTGGCAGCCTTAAAATAAAGACACATATAAAGGAGCTGTACTTATTACAAGATGCTAATACTGACACTCCAATTGGTCCCATTCCAGGTCCTCCTCCACCATGAGGAATGCAGAAGGTTTTGTGAAGATTTAAATGGGAAACATCTGAGCCATAGTCTCCGGGGCGGCACAGGCCAACCTGTTGGAGAAAGGACATCGTGAACTGTCAAACACAGGCAGTAATGGCTCAGGGCTGTGTTGAGAAATGGTTGTCTGAAGCAGCCGGCCGCCCTCACACCACTCTGGGCTCTCCCGGCACGGCGGACCCACCCTTGCTGACAGGGTGGCTTCTCTGGGAAACCCCTCCCAGTTCTGCCTTGCACAGTTGCAAGAGAAAGGGGAAAGGATGGAATGGCACACAAAGCAGTGGGCTCTGCCTATGGGCCGCTGGCCCTTTGTCAGAAACAGACGCTCCATCCCTGGTCTAGAGAGACACTGACTATTAGCTGACCCCAAGCTAGAAACACAACTGATCAAGTCAGCTAAGGATTTTAGCATAGTTTGCTTCCACTGTTACTCTTTCTTAAAAGTCTGAACCACACGATGGACATCACTCACCCTTAAATAGCTATTGTTTTAGCTTAAGCTAATCACAAATGTGAATTGCAGACTCAAACACATATTATATATTCTAGATGAATATATGAAAATGAAAAAATTTCAACCAAATTTTATATTTTGTGAAATGTTCAGAAATCAACAGCAAAGCTTTCCACTATTTAGGACAAGATTTGTAGTGGAGTAAGAAGCTAAAGTAAGAGCAGCCCTGGGTGATTTCCTACCTGGGCGTTCATATTTGCTCCATCTAGGTACACCTGGCCTCCATGTTTGTGAATCAAGTCACACACATCACTGATGTCCTCTTCAAAAACGCCGTTAGTGGATGGGTATGTGATCATGATAGCTGCTAGCTTTTCCTTGTGCTTATCCACCTGCATGGGTGAGGAGGAGGAGAGAAAAATGAGAAAGGCCAGGAAGCTCCAGATGTTGCCTTCCCCACACATCTGAGCAATGGGCACAATGCGCTGGTTCAGAGAAATGCAGCACCCTGTTTGCTTGCTGCAGCAAATACTCAGTAGGCTGCAGTTCTTTCCCATTTGCTCTTTCAAAGTGTTTTCTTTATTATTGCTCAAATGTTATGTTAGTAAAAGGGGGAAATGGCGGTTAAACATGAAAGGCGGACACAAATGGATTCTCAAAATGGGCAAGGACACATAAAGAAGTCAAGAAAGTTAAACTGCTTAGAATCAAAATGCATTTTAAGAGACAAAATGCAGTCTTCTGCCAAGAGTAATTTTCATCTTGTAGAAGGTGCTGCTGCCTTCTACCAGTCCCCCCTTCTACCTACATCGGCCACAGCCTATCTCATCCAGCAGACTGCCTTGCACCTCTGTTGTGCGGCATTTGCAGGGCTTGGACAGCTGACGTGGCAGGGAGCGGGCAAGAAGTCTACTTTCGCCTGGCCAGGCACCTGTGGTTGAATGTGGATCTGCTCAATGAATCATGAGGCAAGTGACAACTGAGGGACAATATCATATCCAAACGTTTTAGAAACGCAGAAACAGAAGGGGTCACATGGGTCTCCCGGGCCATCTAGTCTGACCCCAGAGGAAGAGCAACAAGCCTCACCATTGCCTTAAGATGAGCAATATCAATGCTTCCGTTTTTATCCACTTCCACTGGCTGAATCTTCAGTCCTGCCATCTGAGCACTTGCCGGGTTGGTACCATGTGCAGACTTAGGGATGAGACAAACCTTAAGGGGGAAACAAATCCAAATGGTAACAAAAACATAAGACAAGGTGTGCCGGACCGGCTGTGCCATCTAGTCCAGCACTCCGTGTACACAGTGGCAGACCAGCTGCCCACAGGATCCCTCAAGCAGGATGGGCGCAAGACCTTCACCTGCCCAAGCTCCTCAGCAACTGGTGTACGCAGGCAAGCCACCCCTGAGTGGTAGCACATGGCCAGCAAGGCTAGTAGCCACGGAGAGCCTCTTTTTCCATGAATCTGTCCAGTCCCTTTTTAAAGCGATCCAGACTGGTAGACATCACTATTTCCTGTAGCAGGAAATTTCAAAGTTCAGCTCTATGTTGTGTAAAGATGTACTCCTGCTTGCCCGTCCTGAACTTCCCCCCAACCAGCTTCATGGGTTGTCCCTGGGTTCAAATGTTATAGAAGATGGGAGGAAATCACTCTTTTCCCATTTTCTCCATTTGTGCACACGACTGTCATGTCTCACCATCCGTGCCTTTTTTTTCCTAAGCTGAACACTCCCAGTGGTTGCAATCCCTCCTCATAGGGGAAATGTTCCAGCACAAGCCAACTAAAGACAGTCGTCGTTCAACGCCTAACCGAGGTAAGCCCTGCAGCTGTTGCAATACATTGATTTAAATAAAACGCCTGAGCCTACTGTGTTATGGACTAGTCCGGTTCTTGCCCCTTCTGGGGCTAGGGGCCAGTAGCCGATGGCGTCATTCCGCAGACTCTACCGGATCTTTCCACTGTGCAAGCACTTGCCGATTAGGCTTGTGCAAGCAGTTGCAGAAGAGCTTTGCACAATGGCTTGCACAACCATGCCTCTGCAAAAGTAACTTTTCTTGTTCATAGATGCGAACCTAGTTTCTGCTAGCATCATGCCATCTGCACTAATGTAATGGCACAGCTGAATATCGCAGCCGAGCTGCTTAGCTAAAGTGTAACTCTTACTTTAAACAGATTTCTACCTTCAGTCACCCCTGCATTCTCATGTTATACAAAATTGTGAAAGCCAAACTCTGCTCCCAGATAAACTTCTTTTTTGAGGTTCTTGCTCAGAGAAAGCCATTTGAAAAATAAATGAATGGTTTTAGATAATTTTTCTATGAGTTTTGTTTGTGTCTTTGTTACCTTTTTGTGTGGCGGTACTGAGGAAGCATGCAGAGATGTTTAAAGTTTGCGTATTTATTGCTTATTCATATTGTAAGCCATCCTGGGACAATTTGTATAGGACAGGATAAAAATATTTCACATTTAAAAAAAATAAAAAAGTTATGTATAAGTGCTTCTAATTTGGGAAATAATGTTTATTCTGTTCTGTTCTAATGGCATTAGAACAGACCTATTAAAAATGTTATTTTAGTTGTATTCCTAGCTCTCAGACCTTCTCTGGAACTGCTGAAAATCATCACATTATTGCCGGGCAGTATGAGACATTTTGTAAAGATACTACTATTACTACTACTACTTCACATTTCTGTACCACCTGTAGTTGAAACTCTCTGGGCAGTTTGCAATATTTTAAGTCACTTTCCAGGTTTCAGTCAGGCCCAACCCTGCTTAGCTTCCAAGATTAGGCAAAATCAGGCACTTCACTAAGAATCCTGCTCATTCTGGAATGTGGACTGGTCTGCCATATGGCAAAATATTATTTTAAAAAATTGTTTGATGTCTTGCTCAACCACTGATACTCACTTTTATATCTACAATGCTTAATGGCAGAGGACTTGCCAAGTTGTTTCATTATCTTACAGAATGACCACAAAAATTTGTTGCAAGAAAAAGATTGTAACAAAAATACGTTTATTACAGATATTTCTTCTTTGAGGAGTCAGTATATCAAAAAATATGTGTACTCTGAGATAATTAATCCAAGAAGATATTACCCACTCTATCTCATTGACAGAAAAAGCAAATGTTGATATTAAGCCACTGTAAATCTAAATGCAAACAGGACTGATAATCTGCTTTTTATAAAATCAAATTCACTTGACTATGTGAGGAAAAGCACAAGGACGAATATTTAAATGATACCCTAGTCATGCATTTGGAAGCTGACACCTCTGTGTGTTGCAAAGTGACCTAGCCATGAATTTCAATGCACGATGTGGCTCTAATCCCAACTCAAAAGCTTTCTGACTGCCCCAGTGGGGTTTACGAACATCACTGTACCAGGGCCAGCCTTTGGCAGGTCTTCTAATCCCAAATCTGCTTTAATTAATGCTGATAATGGTTAGTTCCTGGATTTCTGCACTGAACCTCAGAATGTGTGCACTGCTGTTCTCCAGATACAAGAGCGAGTTTCTGTGTAGGCATTTTGGTTGACTTAAATTTACCGAGGAACAAAAAAAGGGGTGAGCTGCTGCTCTCCATACAGCTGGTTCTGCTTAGATGCACAGCGTGTTGCTATATGGGGTGCTGTTGGCAGAAGCCCACCTTTTAGCTGGCCCTGAGGATTAAGAGCGGTGCTTGGCCCCCACCAGGCAGGCATTCTGCATGCACAGAAAGGCATGCCCCACCCCCTATTCAGACAGTGGCCTGCAGGAATGATGGTTCAGGAGTGAGAGCAACTGCACCATCTACTTACAGTTCGCTGGCATTCTCCTTTTGCATTTAAATAAGCCTTGACTGCAGCCAGTCCTGCGTATTCGCCTTGAGCTCCACTGCAAGACAATCACGCACATGCTTCAGAGGACCTCAAATTTGACATCCACACTTTAAAAACTACTCAATTAATTAAGCACTCTGCATGGTCTTTAGAGGACAAATGTTAGCTATGTGTATATATTTGGACTCTGCACACTGTTGAAACACACAGGCTGAGAACGTAAATGTGAAATGTGATGAGGGACTTCGTCTCATTTTAATTTATGTTGCATGGATTGTGAGGTGTTAGATTAGGATACTAACATCTCTCTCATAGCTACTGTCCCCATTTCACAGCAATTCCACAAAGCACACACACCCAGAGGAATCACTGCAATCGGAAGCTTGGTTCATGCAAGGGAAAGGTCCCATAGCCATGTCTACTACCTAAGCCCAAACTTTTCATACTTAAACCATAAAACAAATCCACACTGCAGGTTTAAGATGCTTCAGCATAGCCATTTTCCTCCTCTGTTATCCCTTGCATGGATGAAAAAGCATGCAAACAGCATGTATGCTATCATATGTTGCAAATACATTTAGTTATTAGCACATATGAAAAAAAATAGGTATTTGTCACATGGGATCCACTATACACTATGCTCATCTTTGAGCAATTTGAAGGAATATCTGGGGAGGAAAACAGTTGCATGATGCTGCCCTCAGAAAACCAGCGTAAGGGATTCTACAGCCTCTCCAGGGAATAGACACCCATGACCCCATTGAGACTGCTCCTACCTGTTTGGTTGAAATGAAATTTTGTCATAGCCTGTGATCTCACACAGATCCTTCTCAAGCTCCTTGAAAAGCCGCTGGTACCCCTGAGCTTGATCCAGAGGCACAAAAGGGTGGATGTTGGCAAATTCCTTCCACGTAATTGGCTACAGGACAAGGAAACACACAGACACACAAGAAAGAAGATTAAGACATTTTTGGTGGAATTAGTTCTGCATGTAATGGTAAGGTAATGAATTTGTCAAAAAAGCTTACTGCAAGTTCCGATGAACTATTCAGCTTCATTGTGCAGGATCCCTGAGAAGGTGAAAATATAGTCAGTTGATTTATTCCAAGGAAACAAGCAACTACTATTTTTTCCTTTCAAAATGAATTCTTACCAAAGGAATCATGCTGTGAACGAGGGAAATATCTTTGTTTTCTAATCTTTTCATATACCGGACAATATTCGTTTCAGAGTGATAACTGGAGACACAAAAGCTTATGTTACCAAGCCAGTTAACCATACAAACCAGACAATACACATGTCCTAAAAGGTCTCTTTTAAGACAATAATAATCTCAAACCTCTGGACTTTTCCTAAGGTCAGACTAAGGTGAAATGTATTTGTCCCTGTTGTGCAATCAGTAGCGAAAGGAAAATAGCATTAATCTGTTAAAAGTTGCAAAGGGATGAAACTTTCATATTTAAACATTACATACATTCACCAATTAGTAATCCCATCTACTGCCTTGTCAGCAACATCAAAGAAATAAATATCAAAAAGACAGAAAGATACACTGAGTTTCACAAACCTGTTGAATACTTGATGTGTTAGAAATTTTGAAGTTCTCTTAAATGCAGTAGCAAAAATGCCTCTTGTTTCTTCACCCATGCCCTCTGCAACCAGTTCCTGTCAAACACAAGCCAGGCCAACTCTTAGGCATGATTCTTTTCTGTCTCAGAAAGAGTTAATTCCAACTAGTAATGGAAGAATTTTGCCCCTGTGGAGCACTTCTATTTTGGTGGTATTTATCTTTCAATAAACCACTGGACACAGGAGAAGTAAACTGGGATAAATCACTCACAAAAGAAAGAAAATGAGCATTTTATCTGCAAATATATATTTCAAGAGAGTTATCTTGGTCTGAAGAAAATACATGGTGTGTAAATTAGAAATAGCAGTGGTACATAAACTTCTGGTCTTTTAAGGCATATAAGGCACATTTATTATGCAAAAAGGTGAAAAAGTCAATGCAGGTAGTTTTAATGTGTTGGGGAAGCAGAACAAGTTACTTTACTAAAGCAGCATTCATGTTGCTGAATGCTAAGCTTTCCTTCCATATCTTGCGAAATCAGAACTTTGCTGTTCAAGTTCAATTAAGGATCTGGAGCCATTACAAAATACATGCCTGAAGGCAATCCCTAATCCTCCTCAAGTAATACTCTAATCTTTTTAGTGAGGAGGGAAACTGGAGTATTGATCATCAAGTCAGCTGCCCATTTAAGAGCTTTGAATTAATGGATTAAAATTACATAGTATATTACAGTTGCTCTCCGGGAATGGGTCTTAAAGTATCTAGCAAGTGGCTGGAACGAGGGGTGAGTTCAGTGCAGCTGGAGTCTGATGGAGGCCTGTCCTTTGCTTCCATCAGCCAACTGCCCCTTAGTTAATACCTTCTGTTCTTACCTGTGATCTGTTCTCAGCTAGGTTTTTCTGCCCTAATGGCAATACTATGCAAGGAACTGATACCATTATGAAACTTGGTCTGATGGAGCAGATTTTTAAAAGTTTTTTTCATTATGCTGTGGTGATATTTGCTTTTACTGATTATATGAGGTTTTTGTTGTATTCGAATTTTGGAGGCTGCCTTGCAAGGGGGTTATCCTAAAAGGTGGGGTGGGTCTAGGTGGAGAACTACAACAAAGCAAGTCTGAAAAAAGTTTTGCTTAAAACTCTGTGCTACAAAAGGGCAAGGAATACCAATAATCTGGTTTGTCCCAGCCTGAACTAACCAAAAAAAGCCGTCATCTTCAACCCTCCTTCACTTGGTCCAAGTCATTCTGTGCTCTGGATCTATTCTATCTTAGGCGACGGCTTTGCAGTTGGGGGTGCTCCTGAATCTAGTCCTACTTATTCTGCATAACCACAGGTGTGGCCTTGAACCAACTCTGCTTGGACCACCAGCTACATCATTTCCAGGAGAAACTAGGCTGAGACTCTGTCCTTCATGCCTCTCCCACCTGTAGGCTGAATTGCTTCAATGTGCTCCAGGGGAGGCTGACCCTGAGCACAGCCCAGAAATGCCAGTTGGCTCAGCTAGCAGTGAGACTTGCGTGAAGCAAGTGGGACAGATCAATTAGACCACTTTGGTGCCAACTCCCTGGCTTCCAGTTTGTTTGTGGGCTTCATTCAAGGTGCCAGTCTTCCACTTCATGCCCCAAACGGCAGTGCTGCTCTCAGTGTCTTCCCATATGATTCTGCTTGAGCTTTGAATGCAGTCGGAGGCCCTCCCTCCCTATTGTCCTTTTACAAATTGCAGTGAGGCAAGATGGGACAAGAAAGAGGGACTTTTCCACAGTGGTAACTACAGCTTCCCAAGATAGGGCTGGGTCAATTAGGGTTCCCTGTTTGCCTGCTTTTAAGCAGGCCCTGAAGCCTCTTTGATATTGTTAAGAATTTTTAGCAAAGCCTTCAATATGGATTTACTTCTAGTTCTGCTGTTTTCAATTTTTTTTGAGAAGATCTTACAATGCTGGCTTTTACAATTATTTATTTTCAAGTTTTGCTAATTTATATTTTCATTTCGTAAGCCACCTTGAGTTTGAAGATGAGAATTATAAAAATATACTCCTTGAATGTCTGTGTAGGAAAAAACTGAAGGTAACTTATAAAGAACAACCAAACCATACAATTATCTGAAACAGTTGAAAATAATGAACAATAGAAAACCACAGCCCAGTAAAACAACTGAATTATCATAGAAAGGATAAGTGCAAATACAATATAATACAACAATACAAGGCAATCTGTATCAAGGAGAAAGGGAGAGTTGGCTGGGAGTACTGTGGCATGGGCCCTGTGGCTGCACATGCTTACTGGTGAAGAAAAGGGCTCTGCTGAACCCCTGGGAAATTACAGGCAGACACCTGTGATATGTTGTACCGTACTCTGCATGCATCCTAGCTAAATAACAGTGGCAGAGAAATGTTCACCTTACAGACATGAAGCACTGTGAGTTATGATTACTTACTGCTGAAGATTCACAACCAAAGATCCATAAGAGGTCATCTAGGTCTTTCTCAGTTACAGTTTCATCAAGAGATACTCCAAGCTATTGACAGTCGAGAGAGAGAGAGAGAGGAAGCACAGAAACACCATGTTCAGCCATGCAAAAAAACTGTGTATTTTTCTTTACGTTTATTTAATGTATTCCCACTACTGGGAATAGTAGTACTGTTGTTGATTATGATAATTTATGCCACTTCTCAGCTTTTCCCAAAAAGCTCAGAGAAGCCTACAGTCAATCATGAAGAGAGAGTCCCTACTTGTAGGCTTACAATCTAAGAAGACATGACACACAAGGAAAAAGGGATGAGGAGGGGAAAAGGAAAAAATTGTTTTTAGTAAGATTGGTAGAATGGCCCTGATTTGCCTCCTATATCCTACAGTTTTGAGAATTTTACTTATGGATCGTGTGTGAAACATGTTCCATGCAGGAGACTTTCCCTATAACTAGCTTATAACAAGAAGCACCTGGCCCCAGGTAGGCATCTGAAAACACACAAAGCAGTTTCACTGCTAGAGCTAAGCAGTTTGGTGCTCTAAGCTGTCTGGATGGGAGATCTGGAATCTAATACACAGTAAAGCGTTTGAACTACTTTGAGGAAGAACAGCGTATAAGGAAATTAATAAAGCAATCAGCTACCTTAAAGATTTCTCTGTAGCTGTTTTAGAGGAAATTCTGGAAGTACTAGAAAGAGACTAGGGTGAGAGACACCGGTGACTCAGAGTATGTGGAAAGTTGCTGAGAAAATTGCTGGTTTGCTCGTCATCAAGACAAACACTCAAGAGACTTTTAGGAGTGTGCTACATAAAGTAATATCTGAGCTTCTCGAATAGGTTAGACATTTCACTTTTCCTTGTATATCCCCAATCTTCATCATCATCTTAATAATGGTGCCTGACAATGAAGCCTGGACAAAAGCAGTCAGCATGCTCTGCAGGATACTTAGCCATCACTTACTGTGCCATCACTGTAAATTCGCAGGTTTATCTGCCTTTGAGCAGCCCTCTGCAAGACTTCTTGGACATCACACCCACACTGGATTTTCAAGGTATCAAAAAATAGGTCATGTTGGAGTTTATGACCAGCTCTCTTCAGACCTAGCAGAAACGACACGTGAACTCTGTTCCACTGGCTGCTCACATTTCCACAAGGTTCTCCACGTGGCTCTCTTTTGCTTTCTATAGCTTTCTCAGCAACTGCCCTGGGATAACTGCTGTTACAACAGTCATAAATTTGTCTAGGGATAGCCACAGTAACATGATGAGAAGAAAACCAGTGGCCAAATCAGTCTTACAAATCACTTCCAGGGAAAGAAGCATGGTTGCCAATTTTCCTACATTCTCCAAGAGGTACAATAGCTCCTCTGGTGCAAAGTTCCCAAATGTATTGCCATCCAAGCATGAGCTTCAGATTTGGCAGAGAAGATTCAGTTTTTTAAAAGAAGAATTGCTGAGTGGGTTCACACAGCATGATAACCAACACCCAAGTCTGAGCATGGGCTCAGTGTGGATTGTTACTGAACCATTTCTTGTTGCTCAGTTGGGGATTGTTGTGCTTTCTGAACTTAGACATGCTAACAAATTATGGTTTGTTAACCATGAACAACCCATAAGGAGAACCTATGGTGGTGGTTGGTGTTTGAATCATAAGTTGTTCATGGTTAACAAACCATGTTTTGTTTTTGTGGCTGGGTTCAGACAACACAATAACCAGCAACAACCTATACTCAGTTTTCAGCCTTGAGTGTAGGTTATCATGTTGTGTGAACCCAGTCTTTCTTTTTCAGCAATTAACTAGTCACTCACCTTCAGCTAAGATGAGAGTGGCATTATGTACCCTCCTGGCAATGTGCTTTAATCCATTGGCACCATGATAGACCGCAAACATGGCAGCCATGTTAGCTAGAAGAGCCTACAAGGCAAAAAATTGGGAACAGAATTAAACACACTTGCTAGCATGTTAGCAGAAACTTATTTAGCAAGATGGGAGGCAGACTTTGAGAATTATATTTTTAGGAGAGTTCTAAATAACTCACGCAGCTAAAGGCTGTAATTAAACAGTAACCAGGCAGAGCTCATGAGTTCAAATTTAAAAGACTATCACTGTTACCAACAGAAATGTCCAAATATTTTATTAACTCCACATTCAAAATAGTTGTGTAACAGTCTCAGGGGAGTTTATGAATGGAGCACGGAATGGAATCCATGGCGCTGCCCACAGGGATGCCGGCAGTGCACGTCCTCTGGCTGTTTGCTTATGGGACCAGACACGCCATACCATGTTCGTGGCGTAAACTCCACTGGTGGTACCAATATGGTACCCTCTGTACACAACTGTTCTGAATCATTATGTGAGGAAGCCAATCTCAGAGCAGCACACACTGGAGCTCCCCTTTTCTGCTCTGCCTCTGGCACCTCCTAGCCAGTGGTCCAGTGCCCCACACACCTTCATGCGCTCAGGCAGCAACCAAAACCCATCCAAGAGGGCCAGCTACAAGGGTGAGTCAAGGGGAGCCTGACAACACAGTGACCTTGCCGCTCCAGCAATAAGCACCATGGAGTTGCTAGAACCCGGAGGCGTTGCGCCGGCACTCTCCTCCTCATCAGCTCCACAGTGAGGCCTGATCACGTGGGCATTCCGGACAAGAGCTCTGTGGGCTCCTTCCTGCAACATGGGTTCAGTCCAACCTCTGGCATGGACACATGACCCAGGAGCAGCCCTGAACCTGGGCTGTTCAACCCAGTGTGGTGCAGATGATGCAAACACGTCCAATTTAAATATTTTGTTTTTAAACGGCTTTTAAATTTTGTATTTTGGAAAAAAATATACAGTGTCTTATTGTATTATAGTCCTGTTTTAGGAATTGCTGTAAACTCCTCAGAATGTTCCAGCTTTTGGGCAGGAAATAAATACATACATACCCCAAACTGAACTCACAGAAAGGATTTACCTACTGAAATGGCTCTTGTTTAGATAGCAGGAAAAAGGCATTTCTTACCAAAGCTTTCCATAGCTATTTATTTGCTTTATATGCTGTGCAATTAGCCATAGGCTTATCACTTATCACTTTTTATGACTGTCAGCTACCATAGTAAACTTTATCCCCTTTTCAAAATTATCCTCCCAGTTAACGATGAATAAAAAGTTTACCTGGGCAGTGCAGATGTTGCTTGTAGCTTTATCCCTCCTGATATGCTGTTCTCTCGTTTGTAAGGCGAGGCGATAGACTTCTTTTCCATTAGCATCCCTTCAGCCATGAAAGAAAGGATTTCCTCTTATTAATCTAAGCCAAAAGAGACTTTCAGCTTTTGTCAACAAAAAGTAACCAGTACTAATTTGGGGCTAAAAGGTTAAGTGAGAATAATAAGCTGGAGCAAAATAAAAACCGGGAGAAAAAAATCCCAAGCACATTTGCATTTCTTTCAGTACCATCTGAAATGAAGTGCAGCAACCAATTTTTTTTTTGGTCACCTCTGCATTCAAAAGAGTAATGTGATGGGGACACAATGTTGCCACTGCCAATAGGAGTTTAGAAATGGATTGTGGGACAGCTGCCACAGGCGAGCAGTAACAGGTTTTAAATTAAGTCAGAATCCCTCTGAACTCCCGTTTGGGAGCTTTCCTGGGCTCTGCACTAACTGGGGGTGAAGTAAGCTCAATAGGCAATTCTACTAGATCACCCATTCCCTAGAATATGAAGATGAGCAGGGTTCCAATTCCAGTTTTCAACTGACGGTGAGCTTACCGTGTGACTCCCACCATCCTTCCGGGCATCATTCGCACCAGATTCTCCCTGACAGCAAAAAAGGCGGCATGTGGCCCCCCGTAACAAAGAGGCACACCGAACCTCTGGGAGCTCCCCAGAGCAATGTCGACACCGAACTCTCCTGGAGGTCTCAAGATGCACAGAGCCAGCAGGTCTGTAGCACAGCAGACAAGGGTCTGAAATGAGGGAAGAGACCCTTGTCAGTTTTTCCTTTTTGCAAGCCCCAATCTCCACAGGTGAATGAGCCTCAACACGATGGGTTACAATTACCTACAGTTTTACAAAAGTCACACTGGTGATTCTCAGAGAAAAAGACGAGAGAAAACATCAGTGCTCTAATGTTGAGTTTGGTGAATGCAAGGGCAAGTAAATGATTTGTTCTCTATAGGTCATTTATTATAAAGCATTCCATGATGTTGCTCTCAGGCACACAGACAGCATTAGGAAGCTGCCTTACATTTAGATCTTCTATTTATTTGAACAGAGTCAACCAGTTTGCTCCTGTTGAAAAAATATACACAGAGCTCTGGTACAAATGGGTCAGGGGTTCTGTGTGGGAAACAGCATTCTTGTCTTGTTTTACCCCATTCTGATGGGCTCGCTCAACCAATCCAGTGAAGTCTTCTATGCTTCCTTCCGTATCTGGGTATTGGAACAATACTCCACTGACATTTTTACCACTGAAGTCCATCTCATGAGGCAGCTTCAACTCAACAGAGATGCCAGTGTAACTGGAAAGTAAGTATTACATTCGGTGATTAAGTAAACTATTCCTATCCTGTAAAAACATCTTTCCCAAAAGTATAGACATATAAATATCTATAAAGACAGTCTGAAACAAGGGACAAGATCAATGCTATTGTCCACATCTCTCGCAAAATTTCATTATTATCAAAGAATACCTAGAGCTAAACATTCACCTTCAGCTCTCATCAGTAGCTGCAATGTTAAAGAAAAACCCTTACTGTCTTAATAAATTATGAACATGAAAGCTGAGATGTTTGAAAGATATTAAACAGTACTGATTTATTTTTGTTTTGTTAAAAATATTCTAATCATAGCTGTATCTCTCTAAGAGCAGGGTTTTGCCTGAATGCAATGCTATCTAGTCACACATGTCAGTCCGTCCGTCCATCATATTTTGATGAAAAATTAACAAGTGAATAAGAGCCATAATTAATATTCATGCAAACTAATTAATAGGTGACCTCTTGCCAAGAACAGTTTTGGGAATTTTTGCCTATATTGCTCTTTAAAGAAAATCTGAAATAAACATTACTTTGCTCTAGTCTGCACCACCGCAACCGTCTGAGGATGGCATCTGACGTCTACATAAAACTTTCTCCGTTTATTATGCCTGTTAGAGGGAGAAAAACAACATGAAATGCTATTTCAAATACATTTCATATCATTTTAACCACATTGTGCTGAGTTTCTATTGCCTACATTGTCCTATGCAAGTAAAAATGATTCTTGCTTTTGAAAAGCTTGGACATCCCCCATTCTCTGAGTAAGATTCCCATTCCCAGGAAGGTTAGTGGAAAATACCCATCCAGTGTGGAAACAAGCAAAGTTCAAGTACACAATCTATCAGACTTCGTATCAGAAAAGAGGCAAGAACCAAAGTTCTCAAAGGACAACTCAGCACATTCATGTAGAAGAGCTCTCAGTGACTATTTGTCATGTTCACCAAGCGGAGCAGGACTTTCCATGCCTCTTAATACCATTTGCTGGGAACAGGACAGCAAGGCACTGCCCTCATGTCCTGCTTGTATACTTCCCAGTCATGCTGGTGGTCACTGAAGAAACAGGATGAACCCTTGACCTGATCCACCATGCCCCATGCTACATTCACTTGGCTATCGTTTATCCGTCTCCAATATACCTTCCTTTCCTTGTTTGCATCCTTTCCCCCTTCTAGATGAACTCCGTTTTATTTTAGAATGCATGCGGTGGAATAGTGCCCATTCCTCTGAATATATTTACTGTTTAGCCCCTAAAACTTGAGGCACTTTATAAAGAAATGGAGGACCAAAAGGACCTGCATTTGTGTCTGTTACCTGTGACACAACTGCATGGCTTCTGCTGCAGCAGTTCCTTCATCCAGTAAAGAGGCGTTGGCCACATCCATTCCTGTGATGTCGCACACCATGGTCTGATAATTTAACAAACTCTCCAGCCTGCCTTGCGACACTTCTGGCTGGTATGGAGTATACTGAGTAACCCTGTTAAAAGAAATGTAGTTCAGGCATAAAGCTTTTACCTGTTCAGATAATGCAGAAAGAACTACGGTCCTAACACTGGCACAGCTGCAAGCTACAGAGATGACAAATATTTTGGAATAATGTTGCTGCTGCATAAATAAAATGAATAGGTGAATATCAATGCCGGCAGTGATTACCAAAGCAAAGCAGATTTCTAGGGTTAAGTCTAGACTTATTGTCAACTCACTCAAGAAGCCAAACATACTTGCTGTTCTTGTCCATTCATTTGTGTTCATGTCACGTTACTTGAATTAATTAGCTTGGTTTCTAGGGCAACCCCACAGTAGACAGATAGCGTGAAGACAGTCAGGAAGCATAGGCAGAAAAAAAATTTAAAAATCTGGGCTGCCTCAGAGGCAAACAGTATTTTGACTAATAGCTGACAGTATGCAATTCAGCCAATTCATTTTTTTAAATCCCATTCTATTCTTGGTACATGGGGCAAATAAAAACAAGGAAGGAACAAAAACTCTGGAATAATGAACAAAACTCTACCATTTTACAAACCGTTTTTGCAGTGCAGCAGGAAAAATTTGGAAGGTAGCACAAAGGCAAATTCTGCTCCTTCAGAAAAATCAGTTGCTTAAAACCAGAATCTGTGTATTTGACAAGGTATTCTTGTTTATTTTGACACCTAGATCTCAGTGCAATACTACCCAAAAGGCTATACATTACCATTTTCTAGGTCCCTTAAAAAATTAAGGCATAAAAGGAAAGCAAGGCATAAAAGGAAATGGGAGGTGACTTTATACCCTCCTGCTGTTCTGTGACAGCCATTATGAAAAGAATCATGCAAATGTACCTAGAATGCAATAGAATCTGTGGCCCCAAACCTTCTGCAAGCTCCATTGTAACCACTCTGTTTCCATAAGCCAGCTTTGCACAGCCTGATTTTATGAGAATTTCACAGGGCAGTGGCTAAAATTTAAGTGTGCTGCATGACATACATATTCCTTCTTGGTTTCATGGAAATTTCAGAGGCAAACAAAAGGGTTCGCAGCCATACATGTGGCAAAACAAAAAGGGCTGTTCTGGAGCAGTGTGGGTCTCCCGCTTTGAACCACCATTGCAAACTCTGACACAGCCTCTGCTTTCACACATTCAGGTTAGGCTGGCTGTATAGCCTACTTTACAAAGGGCAGTCCTCTATTTCAAGGCCTCTCCTGCCCATCCAACGAAAAAATAACAAGCCCTCAAAAGGAAACCCTTGTTGCTTTATTCATTCTGGCACAAGGCCAAAGCCTCTTTATTTACACAGTTTTTAGTTGTTAGATTGAATTTTTAACTATTTTAATATCAAATACTGGCAGTTTGGAGATTTTAAGTGTTTTGTTGTTTTTAACTGTTTGGCTAATTTAATTGTTGTAAATCACCATGAAATTCTCTAGAATAAATGATGGTATAGAAAAGTCTTAAGTAAGTAAGTAGTAAAAGAGGGGCCTTGAAGCAGCCCTGTTTATATCAGGGGTGAAGAACCGCAGGCCTGGGGCCTGATCTGGCCACCTGGAGGTCTCAGTCCGGGGTTCCCCAGAAGGCCACAATTCCTGCACTTGGTTTCATCTGCTTTCCCTCACCCACCAGACATTTGGTGTTTTTGTAGCCTTTGTGCAGTTTTCTTCTGTTCTAAAAAGCTTGACCTGCATCTCTGAAGCCTTAGTTACCTACAAGAAGAGTTTTAACCTAAAATATGCTGATGTTTTTGGCATTGTAGCCTTGCCTGTTTTGTCTCTGGTCCCACTCGCTTTGCCCCCTCTGGCCAAGAGCCTTTCTTAAATTTTCCCTCAGGCTAAGAGAAGTGCCATACCCCTGATTTAAACAACCAGTTATTATTTCTAAATGTGCATATATGCATATAAATCAGCATATGGCAAAGATGTGCAAATCGGTGTCCTCTTTTCTTTCAGGATGGATGGTTGGCCACCCTAATTCAAAATGACTCTGAGGGAAATTGTCTTTTCCTTTCCTAAGTTTGTTATGGCAAGTATTGTACATCTTCATCTTTCACAATAACCATATACATCATACTTTTACTCAAATCAAATTCTTAAAAAGCACAAGCAAGCGAAGAACCCAACCTGAGAAACTCACGGAAAATGGTTACAGCATTTTATCCCATGCACCAAGCACAAGGGCAGAAAATAGGAACACATGACCAAGTGATGGCATTTCTGGCCTGGGCAGCAAGCTCCTTACCATGAAGGAGCCTCTACCCTAATTTTCCTATCGCAAGAGCAACAACTACCAGTTGCTCATGTCCTGCTAACTTTCTCTGTGTGCAGGTCAAGAAAGTGCAGCGGCTGAGTGGGGCCAGCAAAATTTTCCTTACACTCCCTTGATTCTGATGGCCACAGTGGCAGATGGTTTTCCAAAAAGCGGGATTTGAACCCATGAACTTTGTTCGTCTTCACTCCGAATCTGAAAGAGCACTACACTTTGCCAATTCCTCCTGGGTAGAAATGTGAACACTGCTTGTCAAATAATGGATGTCCGCATTCCACAACTGTAGACTGGGCAGGTCGAGAGCAATTGAGATCTAACTGTATTAAATAGCTAATGTAGATTTGCCCTTAAGCGCAGCTAATTATTACTTACAAATACATTCCTCAATCTTGAGTGTCTGACTGTGCAAAAGGCCCAGAAAGAGGATATCTATTTTTCCAAGATCCCCAACTGTGTTGCATTCTTGCTAGAATAATTTAAGGGTTTGCTTGAACACTGCTTGCTTCACAGGCTCTTTCCTGTAAGGCTTTTATAACTTTTCAAAACATTAACATGTAAAACAAACCCCTTGATCTTTCTGCAGCCAAATCTGAAACACTTATATATATTTCTTATATCTACCAAATACTGGAATATACAGATTTAGAGGAAACGTTCTTTTCTACACTTCTTTCAAACACTTAAGCTGTGAAATATTTCAGAAGCTTTCAGAAGATATATTTTATTCTTTTACATTAACTGTAGAAACTAGCAGTTTATTGAATGACTTCTGGATTGCAATATATAGTTTGTGAAGCTGTGAGGCATAGTAAGATGACTGCAGAACTTAGAAAAATTGCCTTGTCAATTAAGAAGTCTGCCTGATATTGTGAAAGTGCATATTCGTAACAAGCGTAGACTGTAATCTTATCCACACTTATGTGGCAGGTTTTTTTCCACTGAACTCAATGACACTTATATCTGAGTAGACATGTGCCACTACTTGCTCAATGCTGTTACATACACCGTACCTAAAGCTTAATAATAGAACTTAGTTTTGGTAATCTACAGGCCCAGACATAGGCTATATTTGGGCTATATGTCAGTTTACAGCCTTAACAGCATAAACTCTGTTCATCAGAGCTGCAGCATTCAATTTATTAATCCCTTAGAATTCTCCTAACTAAAAGTATCCCAATTAATTTGGCCAAATCTTCTAGATGCATTTTTAATATTTAGATTCATAAAAAGTAACATATTTTGGGCAGAAGCAGCAAAAAGACCACTTCTGAACAAATCTGAGTAAAAAGTGCAAAATAGTATGGTATTTTTCCTGTTAGGACATCATTTATGATCAAAGTATGTTGTATGCCTCACCACCATCACCTTTAGTTGTATGCAAAACTATAAATGTAATAAATGAACTAATCATCTAAAACTCATAGAAGTAAATGACTCAGGCTTGGAGCTTGTTTTCTTAATTTACTGGGAGCTCCCCACCCCTTTATCTTTGCACCCCCACCACCCTCATTCTCGTATACTGTCTAGATAGGCTGCATGCATGGCCTCGTAAGAAGTGCTTCCCGAAAACAAGACTGGGGAATTTCACAAAACTTTCCTTGGATGACCCTATGTTTCAGCATTAGTGTAGACAGGCAAGTAAATTTGTTTTAGAATAGTAACTTTTATCAATTTCTTTACAAAGCTCATGCACCAAATCGAATGTTGCATCTGGGAAACATCAGAAGGTGGTGCAGAACGGACAGGGATGTACCCGTCAATCTCTGGGTGATTCTCAGGAGATTGCCACCAGTTTCTGATTTTCAACTGTTCAGGGACTGACTCCCTCCAGACCATGGGAGTTCTCCATCTTGCTTCTCTCACCCATCCTGTCCAAGACTTAGCACTAGAGTATGGCCGTGTTCACAAGTCAGGCAAATGCACCATGGCAATAAGCCATGGGAGACTTGGGTTGCCACTTGAAAACCCATGCTGCATCAGAAAGACAGTCAGGCTCACTCCTTTGGTATTTTTAGGGGATCCCAGGAGAATGCCACATGAGGACCAAGTTGCCTTCCCTTTCCCCATCATGAGTATAAACTGTTTTGGGCACACCATGGCTTTCAGCTTTCACCACGAAAGCCCGGCATCAAGCTGACTTTCATAATCCCTATTTCAAGCTCCATACTTTTCAAGGAAAAGTTTTTTTTTTAAATGGCAGAAAAGTATACAGATAGATGTTCTTGCCAATTTTTGCTATTTAACCCTTCTAAATACCACTTGAAAAATGGAGCTTTACCTTCAGGATGACTTCTATTTCTATGTATCCCCAAAGTAGTAGTATCTCAGAAACAAGTGCAAATGTAAGGGCACCCTTGGGACACATGAATCCATCCCCCACCCCTGGCAGGATCTTGTCATAAAGGGGGTAAAGTACATGCCACCATTTTCACACACTACAATCCTCACACCTTTGGTTACATTGGAGAGCTCACCTTTTGACAGCTGTCAGTTTTTAACCCAAGGGAAACAGAAACTTACCTCTATCTCTGTGGGGCTTTGCCAGGGGAGGGGGTGTACCTGTTTGGACTCTGCCAGCAGGCACCACTCTGCACAGTGCCCACCATTCCTGCACCTGTACAGCTTAAAACTTCTGCTGTAATGCATATGCATATGCAGGTAATTTTTAAATTTTAAAAACATATATAACTTCCACAAATATTTCTGATAGCCCAGATGGATCATTTGTGGAACTCACAAGCCTAACATCTGTCCATTCCTGTTGGCATTTCACAATAATAATTCCCTTCCTCCAAACATACAGTAGCTACCAGTGTTCCTTCTTTTGGCGGGAGAACTGCAAGCATAGAGGAGCTCTGTCAGGAGAGGACGGGGGTAGGGAGGCCCTGCTGGCCTGTGCAGATCACCCTTGTGAGCCATTAAAGGAGCTTCATGTATGTTCCTTAAGCCTTGCACCAGGTGGGAATGTGACCTGTATTTTTGTTACTGGCAATGGCCTGCTTCACAGGGAGGCTGCTGCTGCCAGAGGTAGCACCAGGCTTTCTTACCTTCCAGACAGTTGTGCTATCAATTTTCCACCTGCGTATAGTAAGAGGCATTCCCAATTTCACACTAAGTTGAAGTGTATACATTCACATGTATGCATTGCAAGCAGTAGGACAGATGTCACACAAACACAAAGTTAACAAAACTTTGAACAAGCCAAGTCATGTTTGCAGACAATTCTGTTTCCTCTTGCCACCAGTAGTAAGTTGACATCCACCAAACAATGCAGTCCTACAACCATAGTTATGTAGAAGAAACATTTCTGTCACATTGAAAAAACTCAATTTTGATCAATATTTTGACAGTAGTTTCTTCAACTGACATCTTGTATCATTGTGGAATACCACAACAGTGTGGCTGTGGCTATGTATTCAAACACATTAATAACATGAAATATACGCTCTGTATGTTTAGTGATAGAACATGATACATTACCATCCTGCATTCTCCAGCAAATTCCTCAAAATGGTCTGAGGGACTGAACAGTTGTAATAACCCATGCCGATATAGGACCTCCAGATCTTGTTCTTGCTGGCAATGTTGTGCAAAGTTTCAAGAATTTCATTTTCACCTAGTTGAAAATAAAGTTATAAAAGGACTTAATAATGTCAACAATCTTGTGCCTGTTGCCCCATAATTATTTATTTGCAAGCTTTATTACTCTATAGCCAACAGCATATCTGAACAGTGAACAATAAAAGGGGGAAAACAAATAAGAATCAAAATATGCAAGAACCGAACAAGATTTGAAACATGCAATTAAAAGATTTCAAATATGCAATTAAAAGGTTTCAAAGATGCAATTATATGTGCTATACTAAAGGCATAATACTAGCTGAGGTCTGCTATACTATTTAACCTTCTCCCCACCTCCTTTTCTGCTCTGTTATCTGTCTGCTTGCCCTACCTATGTTCTGTGTTGAAATCCACAGAACTGAAACTGATAAAGCTGAATTATGGTAAAAAGAATACTCACAATTTATATATCCAATTGAAACAACAAAGAATCCTGTGGCACTTGAAAGGCTAAGCATTAAATCCCACTTAAGTCCTAGAGTAGCCTATTGAAAGAAAGGGTACTTAAATTTGCAATGACTAACTGAAGTCCAGTTAATTTTAATAGGTTTGTACTATGTAGGATGCACGCTGAATGTTACACTGACAGCTGTATTCTAGCACAAGCTTTCATGGACAACAACCCACTTTGTCTGAGAGTTTCTGATTTATATGTACAGGACATATGGTGAGAGGTGGGCTGTGACCCCAGAGGTCAACAGGAAATATCCAACTGGTCACTTTCACAGTTAATTTTCTTTGCTGAAGTGAAGATAGACAAGGTAAAATAGCATGTCTATTTAGCGGCTTTTAAACATTTGGAACTTGTAAAGGAGCTGCCCTTTTGGCATTTTTACATGTGCCAAATGTCTTTCTTTAAATCTAGGAGTGGGCAACTTGTGGCTTGCAAATATTTTGACTCCGATGAGTGGGTGTGAATATCCAAAAGCTGCTCCTCTCTCATAACTACTTTCCTTATATAGTCTCACATGATAAACATTGTAAGAAAAGCTCTGTGTTTCTCCTAGGAAAATGGAGTATAATACTACTGCTTGCAAAAGAGTAATAACGCAAGTACTGCCGGAAAAAAAATGATCCCGTTGCTTCTGCTAGAAGAGAATATCCTATAAATGCTTATATACAATCCACAATGAATCTTATTAATTCTATTAATTTCTAATGTCCAGTACAGTATACCCCTTGTGCCACTCACACACAAGCAGGAGATATCAGCAGGCCTAAGAAAACCCCACTGTCCCCCCCGCCCCTGACATCCTAGCAGAGGGCACAGTCCAGATACAGGCTAATGAGGACTGAGCAGGCCCAGTGGCTACAAGCATGTCAAAAGATCTCAGCCAGATCAAACCAGCATCCTGTTTCTCCAGGGGCCAACCAGATGGCTTTGGGAAACACAGAAGCCAGTCACGACCACAAAAGAACTGTTCTGCATGCTCACTCCCTGACAACAATGGGCATTGCACCACATTTTTTGGTCTCGCAAAGAACACCTATGTAAGGTGGCTTCCATAGCCAGCCTTCCTCCATTCCATTTAATTCTCACAACACTGCTGTGAAGTAAGTCAGACTGAGCGTGAGTGCCTGGCCCAAAGTCACCCAGTGAGCCAAGTGGGGGCCAGAACCCAGACCTCCCAGGTCCCCAGTCCAACACTCAGCACTACACCCTGCTGGCTCTCGGGTTGCATGCTATGGCTGGCTTGGAAAACTGAACAGGCCATCTTCATATTGCAACATTTTCTGGAGAAGGCCCCGCTTGGGGGCCTGAAATCACAGAATGCACAGGTCTGATTCACACAGGCATTTTGGAGGAGTAAAATCAGTCCTGTGTGGCTAGAAACCAGTTGCATGAACTTGCAAGGGGAAAGGGCAAGTACTGAGTTACATGAGGTAATTCATTCAGCTCATCGTGCTACCATTTATTTTGCTGCACTTGGTCATTATAGGTCTCTTTCTTAGATGCATATTACTTTATGCCTAGAGGAAGTTCTAAAAAATAAAACAGTATGTAAAACCATGCAGAACAGCCAAGGATCTTTGTGATCAAAGTGCAAACAGAGTATTTAAAATGAAACATTTGATCTCTTCATGAAGGAACCCCCACCTTGTCCCAAATGAATCAGGAAATAATGTAACCTTCTATTAAGTTCAATGTAATCACACCTTCTGTCAAAAGAATCCATATCAGACATTTCAGTCTCCAAGACTTTTCATTTTTAGACAATGCTTTCATTAAAAATAGACTCAACATGGAATCAGGCTTACAAACACTGTGTTTTCATTGCCTCAACTGAATTTCAATTTTTTCTAGAAATGGGTTTTTATTCATACAAATCTGACTTAGAAACAAAAGATTTGCATTCTAATGTTCACTCAAGCATGCCTTCTGTCATTAAGTTATATCATTTAGCTTTCAAATGCTGGTCAAACAGCAAAAACATTTTTTATATCAATAGAAAACACAGCTAGAGCACAAACTTACAGAATGTTTTCCATAAAAACTTCTGAAGAAAGAAAACAGTGAACCGGGGAAAGATGTAAAACAACAACAGATGCCAGACTCCACAGGTCTGTATCTCAAGGGAATGGGACAGCCTTGAATATTTTCATGTCAGCACAAGACACATTCCAGTATTGGAACAATGTCAAGGAAGAGATGGACCCATTAATATATTCAGTATGCAGTATTCCTACTACATTAAGCAGAGGTCATTCAGTTTATACTGCAAACATGATTGTTAAGTGTTTTGACACATCGTACTCTGGGATTCTCTTCCTAAGCACTTGCCTAATATGAGACTCCTGCATATCACACTGTACCACTGTCAGATTGGTGATACTGCTCTAACACAACTCTTTCTTTGCCCAGTTCCAATCACTTGTGCCCCTAAGATCATGATCAAGCCATCTTTCACACCTCTAATAAGTGACTGCTACCTCAGTTAAGAACTTAACTTTTCCAGTTTCTTCCTTTTGGCTTCTTGTATTTGGCTTCTCTCATTTTCAACAGCAAATGACCAATTTGGAGCTTATGGTACTTCCAAAAGTTCAAAAGGTATTGTTTAGTCAGTCACTTTTTCCCTCCTTAATGGGCTTTTTTCCTCCATAAGAAAAAAAGTAGTGGTGAGGAAATATGGGAGGGTTACTAGTAGAAGATGATGTTGCCTGAATGAAATTTTATGAGTTAGGTAGGATATGCACAATAAAAATCTCATTAGGAAGCATCCATACAATACAGCAGCAATATTTGAATTGTATATTTCACTTTAAATGTCTATTAAACAACTCAATATTTTATAGTAGTACTTTCCCCAAGCTGACAAATAGCTTAGACCAAGGTACAAAACACAATGAGCACATTTAAAATACAATATTTATCTTTGCATTCTAGAGCAGACATTGGCCTTTGATTATAATCTCCTGGGTGTATTTGAGGCTGTCCCTTCCTCACTGTGCAATGGAGAAAGCTATAAAGCAATGTACTCCATGGAGGGGGAGCTGGAAATACGAGAGGACAGCAAACACCCATTAAGAAACACTTGGAAACGAGCCATCCTACTCAGCCTCCTGCTTCCAGTTTTCTAGGGCAGCAGCTGAGATGAAATGCATTACTCCAAACCCACTACACTGGAAATAGTTGAGTAATCCTCAGGAACTTTAGCTGGCAATTCTTTTTGCTGAACAAATGCCTGCTGCTGACCTTGTTTATTTCTCCTAGCTAAGAGTATTGCGTAACATGATCAGAGGCAATGATCTTAATGTTCCAAGAATAAAGTTCATTGATCGTTCTGTTATCTCGGAACTGAGGGTGGGAGGAGAGCATTGTCCATGAAGTTCCATGTTAACATTTATGGACCTACTGAAGCAAGTGTTACTTTTCCCTTGGAAGACTGCCCATTTCTACCTGGGCCCTACAGTTTTTGAGAATTCAGTTTCCATATATCACAGATGTAGCTTCTCACCTTTTATTAAAAAAAAATTAAAAGAGAGTAAAATGGCAATTAACCAAAAGCTAAGACAAAGCTGGAACCCAAGTTTTGGCAGCATGCCACATCACTTCATGACATGGACTGGGAATTTCTCCCTTTATGTCAGGAAGTGCACAACATTTGGGGCCACAAATATCAGTGGGGGACTTGGGCATATGCATACGCATGCAATGGGCTTGTGAGTGGAGGCTGCTTCAGGGTCTGGTGAAGAGTAGATGCAGCTTCCACCTCCTCCCATTTCCAGTGACCCTGACGGGCACTGAGTCCACAACAGCTGTGCCCTAGCTGCAGCTGGAGATATCTGAAACACACTGTGACCCGTGGAAACTCAGGAAGGTGGCATATCTATTGCTTCCAAAAACAACAAATGCATTTAACATTAACCATATGCATTCTGCTTCAGGTCTGAGACACATATAGGCAAACAGGTTCAGTGAGAGCTCATCATTTGCAAAAGTATGTTTCCAATGCACTTACTTAGACAGGGAAAGAAATCACAAAAGAAAGCAAGTGCTGCATGTACAATTCCCACAAGTTGTGCACATTAAAGAGCACTGCAATCGGCTGTCCAGGGTGGGAAGCAAGATGGTGATCCAGTTTTCTTTGCCAGGCTGCTGACTCGTGGTATCCTAGTTTCCTTTAAAGGGCCGTGCTGGATGCACAGGTGGAGTTTTACATGCGCATTGACTGCATCCATTCTCTTTAATATCAGCATGTAATTGTCCCTACAAAAATCACTTCTATGTTATCTTTCAACAGATAGGTCCAACAGTACCCGCAAGTACAAAGTGTTCAGTAACAGGACCCAGTAGAGGAACTTACTAATTCATAAACATGTTGACATGGTAAATGCATCAACATGCACCAAATTAGAATGGGTTACCAGGTTGCATAATCTTGTATTCCTCCTCAGACTTTTGAACTACAAGAAAAATCCAGGTTACAGACTTGAGATCCAAAGCACCAAGATTTCATCAACCTTAGAAGATGTTTTACTAGAGATGTTTAATGTTCTGTAACAGCCGTTTATGACCTAAACCCTTAGATTACCAAAAGAGGCTAGCTATATGCAAAAACAGAAATGCTCCAAACTGTTTCCACAATGTCATCAACAGGTTCACTGAGTAGATGAGTTTGTTACAGGTTGTTACTAATTCATATTAGTGACCAGTGGACCCAGATGGAACTCGTGTACTTCCAGAGTCAGCCGGGAAGCACACAAGCACAAAAGGTGTGGTGTTCCATAATATGTTACCTCAACATTAGATTCATTATCTATCCCACAGAAGACACTGAACTGTGAAAAGTTTAGTATTACTCATTTAACTGGTTAGCTTTTGCTACAGGATTTTCACTACAGCGATCTTGTAAAAACTAAGATGCAGTTTAATCAACTCTCATTGGCATTTTTGACTTTACAGAATTATCCTGCAATATCCCTCAAGCTGATGCCCTCCAAATGCTTTGGACTTCCCAAAATCCTGATTCCATGCCTTACAGGACTGCAAAGAATTGAAATGAAGAACATCTGGAAGCACTAGCTTGGGCAGGATGATCTAAGCAAATAGATAAGACAAGTAAGAAACCCTGGCTGAAGTGAGTGGGGAGAAGAGATGCTTGTTGGGGGTGGGGAAGTAGAGCTCAGGTTTTGTTTTTTTTAATTGCATGCTGTGAACAGCTTGAACATTAAAAATAAAAGAAAAGCTGAGCGGGTCTGATCATCAGGAATGTCACAAAGATAACTCAGTAGAAGTCGTCAATACCCACACAACTGCCCAAACGGTGCTTACTAGTAAAATGGAAACCTTAGCGGAGGGTAGGAAGGAAACCATATTTTATCAATGGGCAAGTTTGCACAATCAGGAAAGGAAAAGAAGCCATACTGTGTGTATGTGGTTGCAAACCACCGCATTGATAAATTTACTCATGCTGGATGCAGGCTGTCATGTTGCTGAAACTGATGATGGGCATAGCTTCCAAATCACCCTGTAGCCCATGGCTTGTTCTAGGGTCCCAGAGTGGTTTGCAAGCCACTCCCACTGCCTGCCCTTGTTTGGCTTGGGCAATACAACAACCCGTGCTTGGTATGGGCAATTATGAAAATGAGGTGCTCCACAACCAGCACACACAAGCCAGGGAAAAGCACCAGATGACACTTTTATGTAGTTTCATGTTTACATTCTTTTTCAGAAGCCTGTGTTTAGATCCTTTGCTTTTAGCTGAATGGTGCCTATTTATTAAAATATAAGTGTAACTGGGAAAGGAGTTTGCTTCTTTTTAAAGGGACTGACAGCAAAATAGATATGCTATTTCTCATCTGACACATATTCCTTTACATATTGTGCTAGGAAATTACATCCAAAAATCATGGAGTAGCAGGAGGAAACCACTGCTTTAGTTGCTCAAATCACCAGTATACTTAGGTAAGCCCCAGATACTACATGAATAAATTAAGTGTGCACTCCCATGTATGTCTGAACAGAAAAAAGCTCTGGCTGAAGAATGCTGGAACTTCAGACTTTTTGTATAAACATGCATAGGACTGTGCTTTAAGCTGAGCATGTGTCAGTGAAATCTCCTTAAACAGATTTTAGTCATACATCCTCAATAATAATCTTCAGATTTACTTATTTTAGAAGATTACAAGTTACAAATATTCTTTCAGTTAGAGACTGATTTATTTGTAGACAGTTCTGCAGTTACAAAATGAAACAGATAATGTTCCTTAAGGTACAGAAAAAGGAGAGGAGGGAATTCAGTAAAACCACAGATGGATATAAAAAAATGACAAGATAAGAGCATTTAATGGAAAGTTTATCTCTAACTAGAATCTCCCTTTTCAAGGCTCCCTTTCTCATGGCTGTTTCATCCCAGCTGCTACTGCTTCTATTCTGTGATGTCATCACAGACTAACCAGATTGAACTGGCCAGGAACCTTTCAAAGGCTGCTGGGTCTAAAGTATGCACTCAAATTGCAATTTGCTGGAAAGCCCATCAAAAGTGGAAGACAATTCAAAATAATTTGTTATATTTGTTGAAGTGTTGCCACAAATTAATGGTGAAGTAGTCTCCAGGAAATCCAGAAACTACAGGATTCTGTGAGTGCAACTGTTCAAGCAAGCCTTGTTAAACAGTCTGACACTGGCAAGAACAAGTATTTTGTTTAGATAAGCACTTTTATGCCGAGTCCTATGGAGCTCTTTATAAGGCTAGAGATAAGGCTAAGGCCCATTTAAGATATAAATATGTTTAATACAAACCATTATATTCAGCTGATGGCAAATTGCTAAGGTACAATAAACTTTGCTTGCTTATAATCAACCCTTTAAAAGTTTTGAGATTGAAATTGCACAGACAGAAGCAATTTGATAATTAAAATATTCTTTGTATTTGCATAGCTACTGACACAGCATTATCACATCAAGCATTTAATTGGCATTGTAAAGTAATTAAATCAAGGAATTGAAATATGTTCTCTTTGCACAATATATCAGCTAGCATTTTCTGTGCACCATGTAAAATGCAGAATGTCACAAGAAAAGAATCACATTCTCACTGACAAAACTTGTGTGAATTTCATTAATGTAAGAACTGTAAAGCTGTGCAGTTGCTTCATCATGGCACAAAAAGTAATCACTTTTAGCCTGCAGAAGAGTGTAACAAACTTTGTACCAAGATGCTTTAGTGGCATCATGGAGCAGCAACTGTTTAGCATCACAGTAGTTTTGCATTTAGTTTAACTTAAAACTCACTGGAAGACTATGGCAGCTGTTAGAATGCAATTTTAAAAGTTTTCATGTTCCTTATTTAAAAGATTTCTACCTCTAACAGCTACCATTTTACAAACCATAAAACAATGTCATGCATACACACAATATGTGATGCTACATTTAGAAGAATAAGATATTATAACATCTTATACAAGATTATAAGATATTAACATCGGGACTGGATTAAAAATTAACATGGTTGCAGTTGCACGTTTATTCAAACGCTACACCACTCTTTAACAGCGTGTGTGTGAATTAAAGGGCGAGCTTAACCGTTCGGGCAATTTCGCTCTACTTAACTGACTACTGATGAGAAAATACAACCCCTAAACGGCTATGCTGAGTCAACAGAACAGCAGCAAAGAAAAGCCGCGGAGGCGGTGGCTTCCCATCAGGCTCTCAGCTGTATCTAGGGTGAAAGGAACACTTACAAATATGGTCATCCATCTTCAGAGGCCGTTGCAGGCGAATATTAGCAGGAATTGTTTTATCGATCAACTCATCAATGCTCTATAAAAACAAGGGATATATCAACGCATCACATGAATCAGCTGCAGGTTTAAAGTTCTACACCTAAGAAACTGCACTACGGGCACATATTCAAACAAAGGGACCAAAGAGGAGGCACTGGAGGGGAAAACTCATGGAATCTCGGCTTTGAGGAATCTTTGTTAAAGACCTTGGAAACCGAGAGGATTTCGTGCAACTCGATTTCGATCTCTCCTCCCCCACTTTAAAGAATGCAAGAAAATTAAAAGAAAAGCTCATTACCCTGAAGTGAAATGAGGCCAAATGACGTGACACGCGGAGGCAAGAAGATATTGGTGGGAAGATGGGGGCAAAGAGGAAACAAAGCGGGCGTATGCAGGGGCGGGTGGGTGTCAGATTGGCGTCTTCAAGGGGGAAGGGGAGCCGAGAGCAGTGGTAGCTGGCAAAGGGGGAGGGGGGGAGGGGTCCCGCAGAGTTGCCTCACCGACAGACCCACGGTCTGCAGCATCTCGCGCTTCTCTTTGTCCCCGGGGCCGATGTGCCGCTCGGAGAAGTCGTCGTGCCTGGGCAGGAGGCGCTCGATGTGCCTCGAGGTGCGCTCGGCGGCGGCGCTCCCTGCGGCGACGGCGCTCCCGCTGCTCTGCCTCGCGCCGGCCGGTCTCTGCTGCTCGCGGCGCGCCGGCCGGCCTGCCGGCTTCTTGCCCCGCAGGGCGCCGCCGGGGGCCCCGTGCAGACCGGCCCCCCGGCTGACGAGCCGCCCCCACCACTGGGCGCAGGACTGCATGATGCCGGCGCCGCCCGCGCGCACGTGCGGGGAAGTTTGCTGCTCGGAGGAGGAGGAGGAGGAGGCGGCGGCGGCGGCGGCACCTGCGGCGCACTTTCGGGCAGCGAGCCGCCCCCGACCCGCTTTATAGCCCCGCGCCGACGGCCAGCCGAGGAGGAGGAGGAGGAGGGGCCGCGCTGGCGCCGCCCTGCCTCGGGCCGCCCGGTCAGAGCCACCTGCTGGGAGGCTGGCCGGCCCCCCCCCGCCTCCCTCCCCCCCGCTCGCGAGGATGGGCTGGAGTGGGGCGGCTCCGGGGGCGAACGACCCGCTCCGGCCGAGCCGCGCAGCCGCCGCGCTTTCTGCGCCGGGGCGCCTGGACCGTGGTGCCGTCGGGCGGGCATCCCGCGCCCGCCCCGCCGGCCTTTGCCGTTCTCGTAGCCCTTATCAGGGAACGTACCATTCTGTCCCGCTGTCCTCTGGCCATAAAAATATATGGCTTTCTTCAGCAGTATCGCCACCCTTTTACTTTCCGCTTCTGAGTTGCAACCGCTTTCTCACCTCTTTCCCTCCAGAACTTCAAAGTTTAATTTACATCTTAACAGCTTTGTTTTCACAAGGATTGCACCTGTTGCCAAAGTAATGTTCTGGGATAGTATCTTTTTCTGAACAGGGCGGGAGTGAATGCCATAGCGCTACTTTAGTTAAGCAATTCAAAATGCAGTGCCCCGGATGAACCGAGTGACTGGATGCTGGATTCTGCCAGTCAGGGATACGATCTTCTGCTCCTGAGCAGCAGTAAGCCACTCCTTGCACTCACCTGAGTGTTCAAAGATTGACCCCCCCCCCCGCCGTGCTGACTCAAGAAAGCAGCCCTAAGCACTGCTGCACACACAGCAGGAGCCAGGCCAGAGAATGTGGAACCTGCAAGAGAGTTATTCCTCCCAATTGTCCTAATTAGACATAGGAACAATATAAAGTGAAGCACATTATATTACTATAGCCATTGATTCCTTTGATGAAATGATGAAAGCATCATTTCTTTGAAAGAACTGGGTCATACCTTCACATACAAGTTCTTTAGTAGCTTAGATTTGCCTTGGGACTGTTCTTCAAAAACATGCATGGAACCTCTGAGAAATTAAAGCATGCACAACACATTTCACTGTAGTAATTTTTATTTATGTATTTAGGACATTCCTTTCAGTTTCAAATAAGCCTACAATAAATAATGCAAATAAAAGGTTTCTGCTGTAAATAGGCTACCATGGCCTTCTGCCAGTGCTCAAGATAGCTCTATGTATCATTTTAAGGTACAATCTTAGGCATGTTTAGATATAAAATATGCATAGGATTGCATCATGTGCTGGCGAGGGTCTTCCAAAAGGAGGCACTTTTGAAAAGCGCTTCCTGGTGGTTATGATAGTGGTTCTGAGGGGCTGAAACTGACAGGTGAGCAATACTAGCCAAGTTCCCCTTTCATCTCCATCACAGGCCCTGGGCAACTGGAATGGCCACTAATTCTCCTGTTTCCTAGTGGCTAAAAGTGCAACGGGGCCATGGGCAAAAGTTCTGTTCACATTTCTCTTCCTGCTGCAAGTACCATGGGGGCTGCAGCCATTGGAACCTGCCCCATCGTGACTGGGTAGCATGTGAAACGGCCCTGAAACTGAGGGCCACTGGGTGAGCGCTGCATTAAAAGCATTCCATGTGGCTGGCAACTGTCATTACACAGTGAGCCCTTTCCGTCAGTGAAAATGGAAACCTCTCTATCATTTTATAGTGTTCTCTGCACAGATTTAAACATAATATGTTAAGAACCATAACATTAAGTTCCTTTCCTCTCCAATAGGTTGTTCCCTTGATCTATGAATAGAAATGATAATAGGAAATGAAAAAAGGAATTAAGCACAGAAGCTCAGTTTTGGAAAACTGGAGAAATAAAATCTAACTTTTTATAGGCCTTAATTTTTTAAATACTAAATATGCCATTTCCATACAGAAGATGTAATTACACGTTATTAAAATTGTGCTTGCCTAGTTGCTTTAGAAAGCAACAAAAGGTCACGCTCCATGTCATGTGAGGAGCCTTCCGCTCATGCGGGGCCTTTCTCTGCCTCTCCTCCCCTTGCGACTCCTCAGATTTGCTCTGCAGGGCTCTTCAGGCTTCTATGCGCCTCCCAATTCTCCAGAGAGGGAGGGAGAATTCTTTCCACTAGTGAATGGAAACAATTGGGAGACAACCCAGAATCTATAGAGAGAATTTCTTTGTTTTTTCTAAATCAGTGAGCCACATTCCCAAACTCACAAGGCTTAAAGGTTTTTAATAGATTTTCAAATCTTAGTTTTTTAGCTGATCTGTTGTTAACACCTGCTAGAGATAACACTCTTAAGCAGAATTCTATTGCAGCTATCAGGTTATTTCTCAGCATTCTTTATAACCGAGCAGTTAACACTGTTTGTTGTTGTACGATGAACTTTTGATCTGAATTCCTGGTACTAAGAATAAAGTTTATTTTTAAAATTAATTGAATTAAATTTCTTTGCTAAGGACTGATTAGCTTGACATTACTGACTTCCATTTTAAACACAAAAGGCTCTGTTTAGATATCAAAAGTAGGACAAACTAACTTTTCTATGTGTAGTTCTGGAAAGAAGTTAGAAGAATGAGGAATGAAATATATTGGTGTTGTATTCTGCTATGAACTACTTGAAAAAAAGGAGTTGTTCTGTATAAGCTGAGGAACCTTCAAATGCTGAACAACAATAAAAAGGGAATTAAAGCCCATTTGGTGCTGCTCAATTTTTTAGAATGTTGGGCAATTAGTCAACATGCAGACTAGGACATGAAGGTCCTTTCGCCCCGTGAGCAGCAGCACCCAGTGAAAGCATGGGCACAAAGCTCAGGAGGTCTGCTCACCACGGAGGCACGATGGGCCACATGCAATGCCATCACTTCAATGTGGTGGAACACCTCTGTCCTTTCACTTCCATCTTGTCTGGTAGCCCCACTTATGGCTCCACTTCCAGTTTTGGTATAGTGAAACTGATTCTCTTAGCTATTAACTTCGGGCAGTCTTGATTGCCATGTTTCGTCATACACTGTAATTGTCCTTTGCAAACTTAGTCTTGCTTAGGGCAGTACCCAATATAACACTACCATTAGTATAGATTTGCTGGTAATCTGTTGCATCAGCAAATGTTACTAGAGGTTGTTTATACCTGTGTAATGCACTTTGCATTCCTAGCAATTAAGTTTGGGATGAACCCTCTTGGAATCCATCCCTCCAAGCATTTTCAGGCTTCTTGCTGTGATTGGTCCAGTCTTTCAAAATTACCTGAGCTGAGATTAAGTCCATGAATGCTTGTGGAACCCCAGTTGCACAACCGGCAACTTTCTTTTGGGACAGCTGCAGCAGCTAGTATGGAAGAGGGGCACTGGCAGTCCTTTCTTCAGTGCTTGCACAGCAGCTTTTCCTGGCACTGGAGAGAGATGCTGATATGGGAAGCTGCTCTCCTGCCTAACCTCTTGCGCTCACACAGTGGCTGTTCCTGTTGCCAGAGAGGGCACCGCTTGCACAGCACGTGTTGGGCGCCCAGCAAACTATGCCTGTGCTTGCCAGGAACTTGAACTCTGGGTCAGCGCAAAGCAGTCTGAGCCCCAGGCAGGGATCTGATGGATTCCCACAACCAGTCAGGTTCCTCACACATCCCCACTGGGAATGTCAAGCTGGATCTTGCTCCCATCAACTAGATTTGCACAATTTGAGAAGCCACAGATATTTTTTTTTCTTTTTATCATTGTGAGTCTGTTGTGATATTCAGACTCAGTTGTGATATTTCAGCATGGAACGTTTGGTCTTTAGAAACCACGAAAACAAACAATGGTTTGTTCCATGGTTTCTGCTTACCATGATGGTTTCTCGCAACTGGAATCTAGCATTGTACTTTAGAGTACACCAGAGTCCTGGGGGAAGACAGCCACTGTCGGAGCCTGCCTGCCTTGCTCCTACAGGCTGCTCTCTGTTTCCATTCCCTCATTCTTCTCTGTCGTCATGCAGATACCCATCTCTTGTTTACTAGCTTCAGAGAAGAGTGCAGTGCTTTTCAAAAGAGTGGCCCTGGAGTTGGCTGGCCTCTGTGTCACTCTCTGATTGCTGCAGTTTTCAGATTCCGGTCTGAGTTGACATGCCTTTTCTTTTCTTTTCAAAGTATCTGGATACTTAGATACATGAGAGCATGAGTGAGAATGCTATAATGAGTGGGACAAGTAGATTATGGGCATAGCTTTGGGGCAGCACCACTTGTACACTAGCAGATTTTAACAGATAGTTTGAGTTAATAAGCAGTGGTTTCTATATACAGACATCTTTAAAAGAAAATAATAACCTTTCTTATGCTGCTGGAGTAAAGAAGTGCTTTAGTCCTTCTTGTGGGATGGATTTGGTCTGAGCTTTGGAAGGTTTGTCCATGTTAGAATAAAGACTGCAGGCAGTGCATTTCAGTGGGGATTGTGAGAACTGTTCCCACAGCAGTGTGGAAGAAAACTGTGCAGGGGCTCAAACATGACGGTGTTGGGGAAGATATGATGTATTTTCTAGCAATGACGGGGGAAGGAGGACTGACCTCCATGAGCACCCAAAGGGATAGGAGGACACCCAGCCCTACATGAAGGGGATGAATAAGAGGAAATTGCATGTAGGATTGTGACTCGTGGAGAATGGGGGGAATGACGTCAAGGGATAGCAAAGGGTGTAGAGAAGGAGGTGTTGGGTGGGCTGACAAAAAGACAAACTTCCATGCTTGGTTATTAAAGTGGAGGGTCAGGGAAAGATGCTTTGCCAGGTAGTGGAGCAGGAAATGGAAACGCAGGCTACAGGCATGGTCAGGGAGACAGGGGGCAAAATATGTCCACACAATGCTCTCTGTGAGAATAGATACATAAAGAAAAAACATAACTGATGTGTTCATGGTTCCTGCACAGAGCCAAGTCTTGACAGATCTTCTGTTATGGAAGGGTAGCAGGATTGAAAGGGATGTGGGTGAAGATGCTTTAACATGGAGAAGAATTTCAGTGGG